CCATTTAAATTCTCAAGTCGAACCTCCATTTCCGTTATCGACTTGACCAAAGAATTGGCTTGGCCCTGTAGGTGTAGATTCTCATCCTTCATCTTCTCCATCTCATCTCTAAGCTGGTTGTGTTCCCGAATCGGTGATTTAAGGGGTATCTCTATGGCTTGCTGACGGGATTGCCCTCTCGTCGAGACTCCGTTGGCTTGGTCATAATAGTCATTATCGTTGAAGTAGTGCTCGTCTCCGGCGCGATCCATACTGTTGCGTGTATAAGTATATAGGCTCTCTGGGCTGCCAGGCATGCCATTAAGTGGTTGAAGTGGAGGAGTGAGATCCTTTTTCTTATTCGAGACCTTGTGAGTGAGTTGAAGAATACCAGCAGTATGTTCCAGTAGGCGTCTTTGAGGCTCCATAAGCCGCTTCTCAAGGTTGAAGAGCTCTGCCGCCAATTCTTCGCATTTTCGCTCGCTCGCCTGTCTTTCGGCCTCGGCTTCCTTTGCGCGAGCATGGTCACCGCTGTTACGACCCAGCAGACTCCTTCGCTTCCCGTCCAGTTTTCCGGGATTGTATAGTCTCGCCATTGAGATTGCAGCATCTCGGTATTTGGACTGAATGGTCAGGTTTTGCCGGGTTGACTCGACACGCTGTGATAAGGACTGGCTTTGCTTCTTGAGATCGTCCACCTCTTCTTGAGACAGAATCGTGTACTCTTTGCTATCAGAGAGGGCTGTTTCGGTGAGGAGATGTACTTGAATCGGGTCGCTGAGGTCGACGAGCGCGGAACTTTGTGGTCGATCAGGGTTCATCTGTACAGAGTGAAAGTTAGAAGCCGCAGATCCATAACCTCCACAACCGTGGGCGACAAGCATACCGGATTATACAGTTGGTTGTCCTTTTCAAAGCCGTTTATTATATCGCTGCGGTAGCCCTCAACGAATATCTTTCCGCGTGGGCTTGGAGCTGGAGGTGACATCCTATTAGAGCCATACCCATACGGGCTGCCCTCTCGCGCGTATGCACTCATGGTTTCGACGGGCTAAGGATCGTGTTGTATAGGTTATGAGGACATGAGGTGAAAGTCGGACAGAAGCAGTGCGTAAAGCAATCAAAAAACCTCCATAGAGAGCAGTGAAAAGGCTGGCCAGTATCGAAAGTTTGGACAAAAAGTGGTTGACCGGGAGCCGTGTCGTGTCGCTAGGTGAAGCTGAGCTGAGCTCGTGATTAGATCGGATGTAACAAAGGGGCTTTGCGCCCAAAAGCCGCTGAGGCTGGAAACCCGCAGAAAATCGACAGCAATTCAACAAAAAGTCCCGGGTTATGAACTCAAAGAAAGAGTAGAAAAGTTGTGAGAAATGATGCAAATGCTGGTAATAGAAAAGGAGAGGTCGGGACTGACAAAGAAGAAAAGGAGGCCCATCGAGAACCCAAAGAGTAACTTAACCTAAGTTATCGAGTGGGACCCTTGCGAAGACCTCCACTGAAAGTTGAATTACAGCGGTTGAGCTAATGGGTCTAGCAGAGTCAGGTAGGTAGGTACGTACCGTACTTGCGTAGATCCCTTCCACACATGCCCAATGGATTTCAGTTTTTAGGGGTTTCGCGGCGGCTGGACACGCTGGGGCAAGGCACAGGAGGGGCGCACCCGCATTGCTTGGGCATGGGTTTGGCAGCGCTAGGCTTTATTGGGTTCGTAGCTCTTTAACGATGCACCAGTAGGAATGAGCCTTTGTTTCGAGCGATCCTCATGTTAAAGAGAAAATAGATTAAAAGTTTCTTTCTGTTTATACAGTTGATCCGTGCATGAGTAAACATGACAATCCTGTAAAGGCTGAGTTGACGTGTTTCGTATCCGTTTTTCCTTATTTAGATCCCAATGCTCCCTTTTGACGGTGGCATACCGTCACGTTGCGTGGCATTAATGGCTGTGCCCGATGATCTACGCAGATGCTGACAGTCGATGGTAGGATCGTGGCTGACAACGCCATGGATAAAGGTGCTGTTGGCATTCTTCTTCGACGCACGGAAGTCCGTTAGTTCCGACGACTCAGAGATGCATTCTATTTCCAGAAAAGGATATCCCTGCCCTGAAGATCCCCTAGACATTCAAGGAATGTCATCTACTCGCGGGGCTGAAACATTCCCCAGGAGCTAAGGTATGCTCTTCAATACTGTTCTCTCCTGTCCCGCAATTTTTCGGAGGCTATTGGTTATTGTCCAATCGTAACAAAACATAAACGGTGAATATTGTTACTGTACCGACCACTAAAGCACTTCTCGGACTTGATCCATGATTTGTTGCCCCATTGTTCTCCGGCGCTCTGCCTGACCCTCTGTTGAAGCCTGAGCTCCGGTTGCAACGGCTGCTGTGGAGTTTTCGTCCTCGAGGCGACGTCGAAGGCCTTCAAACTCGGCACTTCGTCTATGAGAGCTTAAGCCCACAACCCAACCCGGCACTCGCCAGCGTACGAGGGCAACTGGAAGAAGCCCTTCCCGCCACGAGTATCCAACAATCCATCCAGTGACTGCACCCAGGACCGAGCCTGGCCATTGCAACAGTGCAAGATGCAAAGCAATAGCGTACTTGTAGGACTTGTCTGAGAACGTGAGACCAACGAATGGTCGGTCCGTAGGTGGTGCCTCGGACGTGGCAACTCGATACTTGTACATGTGCGGAACCATGGCATGATATTGAGCCAGGATAGCAAAGATTATGGGAGTAGGTCCAGCCGGGATGTAATTCAACCACCCAGCAGTGAGAGGTCGCAGTACTATCGAGATTACAGGCGGTATGATGGATGTGAGGAAGAAAGTGACAGTCAAGAAGGACTGCACACAAGGCTATCAGCAGTGCAAAGAAGAATATTTCATGAAAGTCACTTACAGCGAACTTGCGAGAACCCCACATTCGCTCAACGATGCGAAGGTTATATAACGACATGGCAGCAAAAAGTACCTCTGTTGAGTTGACATAGCATAGCTGATAGGCCAGAATTCTCCAGAACTGCCGGTATCTCCATATGTGGGTATCAATAAGAATGTAGAAGTAGTGCTTGACGTCGAGAACACTCGCAATGATAGAGCCAGCTACCAAGCCAACCACACCGAGCCGAGTCACAGGTGTATTGGTGAAAGACATGATGTGAGGGTTTGTGTCGAGATTTAAAGTGACATGCTGTAGAAAAGAAGCAGACTCTATCTCCCGTGGAAAGGCGAGGAGTTTCTGCCGGATGCGATTGAGATTTGATCAATTGCAATTAACGTTGAACTTTGGGTAGAAAGAGTGGCTAGTATTGAGCAAGAGTGAAGCTATAGATACAGCTCTAGGAGCTATCCGCAAGGTGGCATTTCAACATCACGTGCAGCTTCGGGTAATTGTGGATCGACCCGCATGCCCGTTGGAAAACCCGCTGACGTCGTTTTGACATCGCTTTCTCATCCAATATCACTTGATGAAAGCCATAGATTCAACTTTAAAGGTTGGTGAGAGAGCAGCAATTGAGCGACGAATCATATTTAGGCACTTTGGATGCTCGGGTCCTCATCTCGTATCGAAAGTTCAACTCTTATCTCGATCGTACGTTCAAGCAAGATCGGATAGGTTCAATGAAATATCCAGTACTGCACAGGGCCCACCACTCTACAAAATCAGCAAGCAGGGGGGTAGAACATACTCAGTCTTGGACCGATCATTCAGTAGTAAGATCTCGCTGCTGTACATCTTTCACCTCAGATATCTGTTACAGTTGTACAAGTCTGACTGGACCCTCTGGGCTGTAACGTAACTCCCCAATAGCATGGCTAGTGCATGTTCTACCTGATTAATATTTACAGTTTTCCTCGAACTATCCCCGACATAAAGCATGTTGATGAACTCCGCAATATGAGTTGTATGCACTAACTCGGGTACATAAACTTATCTATTGTAGCGTAGAGTGGTTGCCTGTAACCTAGCATGGTCTTAAGGACTTCACTCTGCTCCAAAATGCTTGATCAGCTCGTACCACCCTTGGCCGACTTCGCTTCAACGCTTGTCTCATACTTGAAGCTAGCACCTAGCGATGGATGGGCAAGCTTAAACGCTGCCCGCAAAAGACGAGCCAGTGAAGCAACCACCCCAGAGCATGCCTCCAGTGGGAGCCTTGTCGGTAGCTATAATGAACCTAATAGCAAAATAGTATCATCTATTTCGATTGAAATTGCTTCGAAAGATCAATTAACGCCCGCTGCCGTTAGTACTCGATCAGGGCGGCGGCATGGAGGGCGAGCAAGACCAGCGGTGCCCCTCTGCTCACGTGATAGCTCATCTGATTCCATTATACTACTATAGGATGTAGGTACGCTACCCTGTATCTAGATAGCGATCTCTCAGGACATTATCTCTTCACGATGGAAATCATTGCCTGTATTGAGTAAGATGTACTGGATGCTATCAAGATACGATGCTAAGGAGCGTGGCTACAACGTTATGACTGTACTATATCTCGTGCTGGTTACTTAGCCTTTATTTCAAGCACGTTTGGCGTAAGGTAACTTAGGTACTGAGGTAGGAATCTGCCAAGCAATCGTCATCAACATGATGATATGGATAATTGAGTCGACTCCTGGTATTAATCACCTATCGAATAATGGTATATACCGTATTTCAATACTTGGGACGAAATTTAAGCACCTACGCGTGCTTGAATGCTACTTAATTTGTTCGTAAAGAAATCCCCTCTGATCTTTCTCTAGAGGAGCTGTGAACCGACTGAACTCATTCATCTTCATCCTTGATCAACCTCACCTCACCTCACCCTTACACCAAAAACTCACCCTCCACCAGCGGCTCACGCGGATACGAATAAAGACTCTATCTTGTCAACCCAAACATCAGAACTTGTGCCGATCTGTCTTGGGCCCAAGACTTTACCGCTCCCTCTCCGATCTCCCGCTCCTCCTCACCGAAGCCCGAAAAAACAGGGCATTAATCCCGATCACGCCCTCCACTATCCCGTCACTCATTCACTATGCCACTCGCCAACTTTGGCACCCTAGTTCTCCACCATCTCGTCTTCGTCGCGCATTTGGTTTATTTCCATATTGCTTTCTCGCATATGGAACCCAGTGCCCTCGTGGCTCTATATTGCGTCTCCAAGCTACTCGCCCGTCGCGCCGACGACATTGATGGTCCTCCTCCAGAATGGCCCCCGCCAGTGATCCAATGGTAGCCGGAGCCGGGCTGCAGCCTCCGTCTCCGTCTCCGGTCCCGCCATCGGGGTCGACTTCGGCCCTGGCTACGGGCTATGAGTCTCCGTCTGAAGAGAACCCACCCTTCTTCTCGGTTGTGGCCTCGGCTCCAGCTGCTCCAGGGACGGCGCATTCAAGACGTCCTGTCATGCCGCGGCCGGCCCTTTCTCAACGGCCATCGTATATCACTGCTATAGCTCCTGAGCACACCAATGGTCATGCCCGTCCAGGTCGATTGCTCAATAACGAGTCTACTCTCACATCAAATAGCTTGAACCATGTCATCGCAACAGCCGACAAGGGTCCCGGAAACCAAAAAGTTGGCATTCGGGATCGCATCGCCTGCTATCAATGGACATATTTCACTATGGTATATCAACGTTAACCTTTCCGGTTGCCGCTGACCTTGCTAACACTTTAATAGACCATGTCGACTGGAGGCGTTGCAAATATTCTTTACTCATGTAAATACGCCATCGCTGATGCTAGGTCCCGGAAGAGAATAGCTAACTCTTGCTAGTGAAGTGGGAAGCACCTTGGCTGCGTGGCATTGGCCTCTTCTTCTTTTTTCTTAATCTTGTCCTTTTTGTAATGAATTGTATTCTTATATGTACAAGATTCCATCTGAGGCCTGGGAGTTTCGTAAACTCCTTCACAGACCAAGTTGAATCGCTCTTTATATCAGCTTCTGTAAGACTCCCATCCCTTATGGCATGCTGTTGAAACTAACAATAACCAGTTGGTCTCGTAAGCAACACATAACTATTATACGGGTTCAAACATATTCTGACCGCCTCAGTATTGCTGTCATATTAATCAACACCTGCCAATATGGTATCCCGTACACCGGCGTATGGCTAGTCCACACTATGGAGTGTGTCTTTTGGGTTTACGCTGCCCTCAGCGTCTCTCTCAGCGCATTCCTATATCTTATATTATGGTCAACTCTGTACGTTCAAGTGCATATGCTCTTCTGGCCTGGCCGGCTGACTATCATGACCAGAATCTTCCCCGTCCATACCATGACACCAACCTGGGTCTTCCCAGCGTACCCTCTGTTACTTAATGCCCCCTTCGCAGCAAATCTCATCGCGGCTGCAGATTCAGCTGGGCACAAACTATCAACCAACACTGTCGCAATGGCACTTGGGGCCACTGCTATTCAAGGAACCGGTTGTCTGATCGCTTTTATGATATCGTCGGCCTTCATATACCGCCTCATGACGCAGAAGCTTCCGCGGGATATGCAGAGACCTGGTATCGTAGGCACGCCTTCTTTCCTTTCTTTGACCTAGCTGACCCTTGCTAGTTCATGTCTATCGGTCCCTACGGCTTTACCGCTGCTGGTATAGGTACGTTGCGAATGCCTTACGACATATATATCATGTCTAACAAAATTAGCCCAACTCGGCAGCCAAGCAGACTTGGTAATACCCCCAAACTTTCTTGACAACCCTCAGTTTGCCGCTATCATTAAAGTCATCAGCATTCTCGTCAGCCTCTGGCTCTGGGGCCTCGCCATGTGGTTCTTCATTGTTTGTGTCGGCGCATTGTGGAAATATTCTCTTTCAGGTCATCATCTGCCGTTCCAGATGACCTGGTGGTCTTTCGTTTTCCCCAACACGGCTCTTGTATGTAACCCTTTTCACCGCAGCACTTCTCACTGTATGCTCAATGGGTTTCCTCTAGGTTACTGCTACCAGTGTCATGGGTAAAATATTCGATAGCGATGGCCTGCATATATTTGCCTCTGTCATGACCGCTGCAATCATCATCGTCTGGGCTCTTATCTTTGTCCGAATGTGTTGGAGTCTGAAATCGAGGAAACTTCTCTGGCCAAAGGATGGAAAATAGGGCTTATCAGAATGATTGCAGCCTGGCACCGTTTTTGTGCCATTTTCCTTCGTCTCATCATAACAGTCTTATTGATTAAGATTTCGGCAGGTCTAGTATGCCGGATATATCCAGGTCAGCATAAACTGGCGTCAGGTATCTTATTGAACTACCTAAGCTTTAGCGTAAGGGCAGTCATTCTCAAACTATTTATTTAACCTTCGGAACTCGCTACTGCATATCGTTTCGAGGACACTGCTTGATCCAAACACCCAGTAACATGACTAAAGTCAACGCAAAGAAAATGCCGTTTATTTCCCTGACAGGAACTCCAAAATCTTCCACAATGCCATCCATGAAACCGGTCTTCGTCATTGCGCGCTGCTCGTAAGAAAACAATAGAATGATCCAAGCAAAGATATCTCGATTCGCTCATAGGAATCTGCAAACGCCGTCAAACTCCATTAGCAATCCCTCTGTACCAGTACATAAAACCTCTCGTGCGGTGTCCAAGATAAACAATAATAAGCGAGAAGCATGGTTTCTTTATAACTTCGCCTTGACACCTTCTCCAGCTGTAGCCTCGAGATTGACGGTTACCTCGCCTGTCTTCTCCCCGTGGCCGAAGAAGATGACCTGAACAGTCAAATCGTCACTAAGAATTATTAGTAATAGGCCACTTAACACTAATGTCATAACTTACCGGTATCGTCGCGAGAAAGGCGAAGGCAGAGTGAGCAAAGCGCAGACCTGCTCGTCGTTGTTGCCACCAAGGGCGTTTCGGACAAGGTGTGTAGCGACATTCTTGTCTTTCACCGTGAAACGATCCTTAGCATCCGGGTCAATACCCCATTGCTGAACGCGGATAGGGGTCTTGTTGCCGTCGGGTCCGGTGGTCTTGCTCTCCTCGACGGGCAAAGGTGTTTTGGATGAGCCAAAGATTTTGTTCCATGCAGCATCGAATTGCGAGTTGGTTCCAGACTGTCCCTGAGTCTCAATCCACTTGCCCACAAGGCCAACAACCTCTTCGTTGGTAAGCATCTCCCAGAGGCCATCTGTTGCCAGAACAAGGAAATCGCCATTCTCGGGGTGGACCTTGGTAGTTGTAACGATAGGCTCGGCGGTGACATAGGGAGGAGTCTTTAGAAGAGGCGAAGGACTGCGACCGAAGAAATTCTCGCGTAACTTCCAGGCGACATCTCTGCTCCATTTGTAGACGGCGTCTCCAAAGGCACGACTAGGCTCCAATCCACCAAGAACACGGCCATTCCGGATGACGTTGTCCTCTCCAGGATGCTCCTTGCGCATGCGCTCAACCTCTTGAGGGTTGCTACCCGTCTGATCCTCTGACAGAGCAGTGGCTGTCCACTTTCCGTTCCCTGCCCGGCGACCAAGGACTGCGCGAGAGTCACCAGTGCATGCAACCCGCAAGAGGTTGCTACGGCTGTCGTAGAATGATAGTAGGGCGCACGATCCAGATAGAGCGGGCTGTAGAAGCTCGGCTGCGACGGTCTTGGAACCGCCCTTAAACACCTTCTCCACGCTCTTGTGAACGATCTCGTTATCCAGGTTGTTGAACCCAGTCTTGATGGCCAGATTTACTGCATCCTCAGAAGGAAGATCACCGGAAGCCTTCTTGTATGTTTCGTTCAATTCGCGGGCGACGTAGTTAATCAGGCTTTCCCTCAACGTTGCAGAAGTAGTCCATCCGCTATGTCGTGTAAGTCAAGACCCTCTTTTTAAACTGTGGCGCAAGCTCCATCACAGGATGAATACTTACGAATGGCCGTCAAAAACACCCCAAAACATCCAATCGCTGTTATCTGTCTCGGCGGAAGATCTGCTGGGTACCTGAACAATCTTTTCGGCGTGATCATCCTCAATAGGGTCGTTACTGGGCAGCTGTACGAGGTCGTAACGTGTAACACCTTGTCCTCGGCTGACGGAGAAAGACTGTTCGAGGCGACGAAGCTTCTGAGTTGCTTGATCGGGTGTCAACATCTCGACGATGCGACGCCCGTCGTCACTAGTTGCCTTGGAGATGGGCCCCTCGCCAACAATAGTGCCTTGTCGAAGTTCGTCGGCGCCGACTACGAGGACAGTCCGAGTGGGTAATACATCCGCTGTTTGAGTTGAGGCAAGGCTAGTCCTAGAGCCTACACTCGAGCCGGGGGGGATGTTAGAGCTGTTGAGAGAGTACCAGGCGCCGTATCCGACGACGATACTGGATACCAACGCGACTGGCAGGCGACGAAAGTACATAGAGGACCTCAGGGGAATGGCACCTGCGGGGTTGCGGCGAGCGCTTCGAGCGTGTGCGCTAGCCTTGGATCTTGCCTGGGCGAGAGTGAAGGACGAGACAGAGAAACCACGACGAGGAGTGCGAGAGAGGGTGCGGACGGTCGAAAGTGAGGTCGTCCTTAATGCTCTCACTGCGGCTCGATTCATCTGGACGACGGTGGGGGAGCTTAGGGCCAGCCTGGCAGAGGATTGAAGAATGAACCTATGGGTATGACGAAAGGCAGAAGTTGTTTAACTCTTGATGTCAACAAAAAAGATAACTAATGACAAAGGAGACAAAGTCAAGGGATAACAGTAGGACTGTGATAGATAGTGATTGATGATGGTGGTGATGGTGGATGAAAGCTAGTGGGTGTGGGTCTGGAGTCGCGCTATCTTATCTCAACCATTCCCCTCTGAGACGGTAATGCCTGAGGTGAAGCTTGGTCTCAAAGTGACTGCGAAGATCGGAGCTCGATGTTGTAAATGAATAATGTATTTAATATTTGCATGATCTGACTTGTTTTACTCTTCTATAAACATTTATACAGCATCTGCCTAGACTTTACATTGCGACTTATCCCGAACCCTCTCATATTCTCATAGTCAGGTCTCACGTCTTAGTTGGTCACCCCCACGTGAGCCAGCAGAATAGCAGCCGACCTGAGCTTAACTCACCTCAGTGTATAAACCGACGTCTACCGAGGCTCTCGCTCTTCCTTGCTGTTTCAGAGGCTCTGCACTGGGTGACCCTAAATCCTGAATAAGTCAAGCCTTGACCAAGGTAGTCCTGTGAGTTTTACCAACCCTGGATTGTTTTCTCACATGTTAATGAGAACCCTTGCACACAGTCACTGGTTACACTCTCTTGATGACACTGATTCCTATGTCTCAACATCTGTGTTCATAACTCATTGAGTGCCTGCAGATATCGAGATTCGCCCAATTGAGACCTCCTCCAATGGACCAACAGCAGGAGGCTTCACCAGCCCAAAGGTCACTCACGGGAGCTGACCGCATCAGAGCTCTTAAAGATGAAAATGCTATCTTCACTGCATTTGACACATACCCATGGACAAAAGATAAGAACTTTATGGTAATATAACATCAATGTTACATGGCTTATAACTCGGTCACTGACATTAATTCCAGTCTGGTCTCTACGCTATTCTTGGCGAACCTGGCCAGCAAAACCCTCAAGCATCTCTTGCAGATATGGCTATCCACGCTCGAATATTCTACTATGCTCAGCGCATTGGTGTCAGCATTGACTTCAGCGCCTACAAGGCGTGGCTTGCCAGCAACTCTGATCATCAACCCCCGGATGTTCTGCCTGAGGAATATCGTCAGCGGGACGAAGCCAATGCTTCTTCAGCGCCGGTCCTAGACTGGCAGAAAGCTGCCCCAAAGACAGATCTATACGTTGATCGGAAAGCCGCGGCTGCTCAGTCTGGCTCACAAGATCAACCAAGTTACCCAATGGGATTTGCTGAAATGATCAAACTTATCCAAGAAGGCAAGCCTGTGCCTGGCATCCGCCAGATCCCAAACACCGTTGTCAGAGATCCTGTAGGTCCAAATCTCAACGGTGCGAGAGCACTTACGTGTCTGCTATGCTAATTTTGATAGACTGTGAAGCCAGTTGGAGCGAGAGCTGTTCCCAGAAAACCATGGGAAAAAGAGACCACAGTTGACACGCCCACTCTCCCCGACCTACCAAAGGCACTCGATACAGAATTTCCCCCAGTACAAGACGATGGACCTGTTTCATCGTCAGCTGGAGCTTCCTAGATTCCAGGTCGTCATTTCTCAATATCATATAGCATCAACGGCGTTGGGAGTAGCGATCGCTGGCAAGAAAAATATACTTGATTCTGACGTTTGGCAGGACAAAATTACTGAAGTACTATAAATATGAGGACCCATTATCACAACACGAAGTGGAGGCATCTAGGATAATAAAAGCATCAATCGTTTATTAAAAGGTGTATAATGGCTGCCGTAACAACCCGAGTGCTATAGGGAGACGCCGAAACCCAGCATCCGCATAGAAAAACAACATACAACTTTATGAACTCTCTCCGACCTCTAAGGGCATCCTTTCGGATCACCATCACTCATACTCGCTGATTGACTGAAGAAGTGTGGCTCTAGTATCCCTTTAAGCGCGTTCCCGCTCACCCGTCGAGAGTGACAGCCTATAAGCGGTGGAATAAGAGGGCCAGTCCAGCGAGGGCTGCTGTGGTGATTAGCATCTGCCATCTCCTCCATATTGCAAAATCGATAACCATAATGTGTCCAATGCACCCGAGCAGGCTGTAGCCAGCTGGGCGTAGGATGACGTGTGATCTGTAAATTACTTGCGTTGGAAGATGTTTCTTAAGAAAGGTCGACAAATTCTGGTTTGTTGCGTGATCTTGACGAGTGGAATGATTGGTGATTCAGATAGGGTACCTTGACACGGATGAAAAAAAGAATGAAAAGAAAACAACGGTAGAATGAGGGACGCTCTACATTTCCAGCAGGCAGATGTCCTCGTCGATGTCAAATATGGATGGGCAAGGTAGAAAGACCTTAGCGGTAACCGTTGTTATAGCGTGGCCCAGGTCCCATGCGTCCGCCCATTCCAGGACCAGCACCAGGACCAGGACGAGTTGCGACCGCGTGGTTCGTGCAAAGCATACCAACTCGGGAGCCGAACTTGGAGCCTCGCAGGGAAACCATGTGCTTTCGGATATGGGCAGCAACGATTTCGCGATGCTGGGGGGAGGCATTGTTAAGAATCCACTGAATGAGATAGTTGCCGTATTGGTCACTTGCAATGTCAATCAGTGGGATGCGAGTACGGTCACGACGACCTTCACAGACTCGGTCCAGGTAGCGACCAAGGAATTCTGCGCCTCCAATTTTGAGACACTTCTCGACGACCTTTGAAGCGAACTGATCGGTACTGTACTCAGCAGCGTAACGAATAACATGGTCAATAGCTCGACTGCGATCAGGGGGAGCACCGTGTTCACAAATATGCTGGATGCACCAGTTGCCGAATTGTCCGTGGGCGACGATGTCAATGTTGGCAAGGACTTCTTCGATACAAGGGCGCTGTTGACATGAGTTAGCTTGTAAATTGGACGATCAACATGCCAACTTACCTTATCCTCCTCGAGGCAGTTTTCAAAAATGTTCTGCACGACAAGACTACCGGTCTCCCCCAGGGCAACCTCATGCCACATCCCCCTGAGAGCGTCATTGACAAATTTCATGATTTGCGGAGGTGACTCTGTCCAACGCAGCTCAAAAAGTTTTTGCCAGACGTGGCAGGCGTAACGGTGAATGACCGTCTCCGGGATTCGACGAAGAAGTTCATGGACCATGATAGCCTTGAAGTTTTCAGGAACAGAGTCAAATGCCTTTTGAACGACGTGACATCCGAAGGGATCCATAGAGAGATTCAACGTGTTGCCCCGAATGGCTTCCGCGATGTTGATGACTTGGTCGGGTGTTCCATGCTCAAAGCATCGTTGCACCAAGAAGTTGCCAAAGCGATTGATCATCAATGGATAGGCCTGGGCGACGATCGCGTCGACGATCTCGAACTTCTGCTCGGCCGTTCCGACCTTGAGCTTCTGCTGCAGGAAGATGGAGGCTTGTTGGTCGTTATTGCAGACGATCTTGTCAACAATGTACTTCCAGTTGCAGTTCACGTTGCGATCCAAAAGACGGCGGTAATTCAGCGGCTCTGTCGGAGCGAGGTAGGTCTGGTCATCGGGCGCCAACACCTGTCTCGGGTTTAGTGTCTTGTGTGAGTACAACGCACGCAAACCAACCTCGTTCTTCCATCCAGAACCAGTGGTAAACTCGGAAGCGTGAGGCGAGAGAGGTGTTCCAGCAGGGTTATGATATGGTGGATAGACACCCATAGGACCCAACCCTTGGGGAGCATTCGATGGTGCTCCAGGTGCAGGACTTCCCATGTAGTCGGATTGGTTCATGGGACTATTAAATCCTCCTCCGTAGCCAGGTCCAAATGGCTGAGGTGAGTTGAAACGGCCCTCGAAGCGGTTTCCCTGACGTCCATAGTTCGATCGCATCATCTCCGTATCTGGGGTCAGACGTTCACTTCGATAACCTTCCATCACGGGAAAAGGTGTCCCGGTAGGTTCAGAACAAGGTTGGCTGAAGACACGCCCCCCGAGCCACTTTCCTGGGGTTGGTTCAATCACTGGTGCCTGGACTGTGTTGGCGAAAATTGGCTGATTGCCCCAGATCTCTCGAGTGCGGTTGAATGTGGAAGCGGGCATAGCATCACTGGTGTCAGAATGATTGTCGTCAGGGGGCCCCCAGGCATTCTCGCGAGGGGGATAAATTGGACCGCGGGTTCCGAAGGGGGGCACATCAGCTGTGGTTTTCACAACGCGTGTCTCAGCTAGTTCCTGATCAAGCTTCGAGATTTCGTTCTGTGCCTGGGCGAGCTGTAACTTCAGGCGCATTACCTCTTCACTCTCGCTACGAGCTTCGTCCAAGGTGGCACTTGCAGGGCGCGTGGTAGGAGCTGTGCTTGGAAAAGCATCAGTAGCAGGAGTGACGGGAAGAGAGTTACTCGAAGATGCATGATCAAATGCTCTCGCATACTGGCTGGTGTCGTCCCTGAGCTTGGTAGCATCATTTTGCTGGTTCAGGGCAGATTGCTGCTCGGAGAGCTTCGCAAGGAGTTTATCCACGGGGTACACCTGGTCGGTGGTCGAGTTATCATGGCTGATTTTCATCTTCTAACATGGTCAGCAACTTGCAAACTAGACATCTTGGACAGATGCTTGGTTTCACCTTTGGAAGACCTTGGTTCGCCAGCTTCGAAGTGGATAGAGCGGCGATGTTCTTCTTTGCGGGGATGTTCCTGCCAGCTGCCTTCTATGTCCAGAGTCAGTATGTGGCTCTTCAACGTCGGCGAGAAGAGATTCCATCAAGGATGAAGTTTATCAAAGAATGCTGATGTGGATAAAGTCTACTTACCGAGCTTGGGGCAAGTGGCGAGGGATTTGAGTTTTCGACCTGCACACTGGCAGCGAGGATGGGGACAGTCCGTTCAGGAGATACCCCAGTAGATCCAGCTGAGGACATGATGCCGCAACAATTGGTCAGAGTCTCGACGAAGTGGTTTTGGTGATGTTACAGTCAAATAAGAATTGTAGATGACAGAGTGAACTCTAAGGAACGCACGATGAGATAGTGAACGACTGTAGATGTGTCAAGTTTGTGGTCCAAGAAGGAGTTGATTGTGAAAGGAAGAGAGTGTAGAGGGGAGAGTGAAGAAGAGGAAGAAAAGGAAGAGAGGATGGTGGTGAAGGTAGGGGAGGTTATTCACTGACGCAGACTTTTCTGCAGGGCCAAACAGGAGGGAAGTGCGGATGAAAGAAGTGTAGAAGTGGCAGGTGCCAGCAGCCGACAGCAACAGGCCGACCACCAGCGTTCCTTCCACTTTTATTGCAAGTGACAGTCGCAGCGGGCACCCGACTGGCAGTGGAGGCAAATAGGGGCCTATTATGGAAGACTATGCGGTTTTGCAGTGACATGACACCCTGATCTTTTAAATGCATTCGGGTGTGCAACAAAGTCAGTGTCCCAGGTCGTGTATGATTCGGTCTAATAAGACAGATCGAGATATGCAGGACAAGTTCCGCAACACATAGCGTACATGCCGACCTAGCAAGCTACTAAGCTTGGATTTGTATGAAGGTGCTCAGTATAGCCGAAAGTTCTTGCTTCAGTTAGGAGTTCATGTAAATAAGAGCTGAGGTAAGAGCGAAAGGAATAAACTATATGTCAGTCGTTGACTGCACGCGACACAATGTTAGAGAAGGCTTGTGATCACGCAGCTGTGATAATCAGAGAGCTTACCGGCAACCTTTAACACAATTTTTATTTAGTTGACTTGGTGAGTGTTTGCAAGTGTTTTTGTTGCCTCAACACAAATTATGTGTTCTTTGGCCAAGGCGTCACTGCTAGGTTGTTCAGGAGTTATGTGAAAAGCCGCTGAGTTCTTGGATTATATCTATGATCGAACAGCCCACCAAAATGAACATCGAGAGGGACAGCATAAAGAGTAGAAATTTCGAAATCTGATTGATGCATTGGATACTGATACAAATAATTGTACATACTGCGATAGAAAGCCACTTGGATGTCTCTTGGCTCTTATAGCCACCTTTATCCCCCGGCAAGCCTTAAAAGTCGTACAATTCGCGTGTGAATTGGCATGCCGTTCAACATTCATGATCCAAGGTAAGGCGTATCTTCGCCACCAGTGTCAATATTGGAAATGTCATTGTCGTTATTGTTTGATTTATCGCTTCTTGCCAGTAGGAGCTGTAGGATGTTAGTAGCATTTCCCGACTTGGCACGATGAAACATACCTGGAGGCCCCTTCTTCTTCTTGGGTGCACTCTTTCCGCGGAGCTTGAGCCTAGAGATCACGCCGTCAGCACTTGTGTATATCCTCGAGGTCTCCGATGCCCAGCTTACTCCTCAATGTACTCGAAGCGGTCCTCCTCGCCCTCATCCCAGGTAGCCAGCGTCGGTCCGAACTCGCGCTTTAGATCCTTGATCGTCGCTGTCTTTCGAGGATAGTACGCCGCCATGGCCGGTCCTCTTAATCGCTGTCGCAGGACCTTGTTACCCATGCGGACGCCTTCGGGGTTGTATGAGGTCGCGAAGACCTGGCATTGCGCCTGCAGAATGTTAGTCCACGTACCCCAAAAATATCATGGAGAGTCTCGCCTTGACCAAGTCCAATATCCGCGCTCGTGGGACACTCATTGTGGCGTGTTTGGCATCAATCGTTGCTCTTGTCAACTTTTTTGAAGCTTTACTTGACGTCTGATGTGAAGTCGGCCAAAGCACCTGATTGGCCAGAGCGACGATCAAGTGGATCACTCAGAGTAGTGCCTCAGACCAACCAAAGCTTCGATACCTCCACTGCGATAGAACTCCATTGATCTTGAAGATATTGGATTTGACGCCCGCACTATATTTAAGAGTTGGAAATCCATCAAAAACTGTATAAGGCTACCTAAAGGTAGTAAACTTGGTGTATCTTCTACAAGATCATCGTGACATTCAAGATTATACTATGGAGTGCATCATGAGCTTAAGTTCTAAATTCGTATACATTAGCTTAGGTAATTTTAATTATCTAGAAACGACATAAGAAAAAATATATACTTGGATATTGAAGTTGAGCCTTTGTGCTATCCTAAAAGTACTAATCTATGGCACTCATTCAGGCCACAAGAGCTCCAAATGTTATCCATGGGCAGTACGAAGTGTCAGAAGACTTAGACTCTGAATTAGGCTGCGAAGATACTTAGATTAGGTAGCCAGTAGTTAAAAAAGATTCAACTAAACTCATCCAAAATTAGGTATCGTGAAATTGTGTAAGTATTTTTATTACTTATGATTCAATGGATGTATTAAGTTTTCTGCCATCGGGTAGGTAACTTTCAGGTGAATTGTGGGTCTTGTCCCTAAGATTGGGTTGAAACATCGAGAAATACAAGACTTCTCTTTTTTCTTCGCGTCCCGTCAAAACAATAATCAATAATGTCTAAACGGCCGAATCAAGATGCTCCCAGCGAAGAAGATGAGCCACGCAAGCGCGTGCAACTTATTTCAGAAAAAGCTCCTCTGTCTGGCACTATTGCCTCTGTCGCTCCTGGGGTGTCGCGTTGGACCATGGCAGATATCCCTTCAAGCCTACCACCTCTGCCACCGATAAGCCCAGAACTGGAGGAGCAAGTTTTCAGACATCCCGGGCTGGGAGAGCCTAGCTATGAAAGGTTGGAGTGGTATGGTGATGCCGCCCTCGAAATGATATCCACAGAGCTTGTGTTTGAAACTTTCGAATACCTCCCCACCGGACGAAGTAGTCAGCTTCGTGAACAACTGGTCCGCAACCTCACACTCTCGGATTATTATCGGCAATACGGCATGCAGTATAAAACAAAGATTCCCACGGATATGGGCTTAATGGTGGATTTGATACATCGAAGCGGGAGAGACAAGGAAACGATCAAGATTCAAGGCGACGTTTTCGAGGCATACGTTGGAGCAGTCGTCAAATCAGATCCCCAGCACGGGGCCGCGAATGCCGTCGCTTGGCTCAAAGCGCTCTGGGCTCGGACAATCAAGGATCAAATCAGGCAAGCAGAGCAGCATCGTAAAAACGACTTGAAAGCCCAGCGATTTCTGGCTCGATCCTCTGCGACTATACCACCCACGGAACAGACAGTCGCTACACAAGTCGTACCAACAGTAAAGCCTAAGGCGCCGCCGACGAACAAAGAGCGCCTTTCTCAAGCAATCGTCGTCAGGGGCATCAAACTTCGTTACGAAGACATGCCTTGCAACAAGAAGGATAAGAACCTCAAACTGCCCTTGTTTACTATTGGCGTCTATCTGGATGGGTGGGGAGAGGCCGGGAAGCTGTTGGGTTTCGGGACGGCTCTCGGGAAGAAAGAAGCTGGTGAGAGGGCGGCGAAAGCTGCCTTGGAGAATAAGAAGCAGCTGAAGGTATACGAAGCTAAGAAAGAGGCTTGGATGAAGGAAACACACGCAAATGAGCCAGCTGTTCAGACATAATACTGGATGACAGAATTCCGGAAACACGAAACCCATTTTATGATGAGATTATGAATATATAACATAGGTTTCCTCAAAAATCATGAAGATAATACCATTTTATAATAAGATAATGAAAATACTAATAATAAGTTACTGTATGAATATATATACATATATATATATGATATATAAAAAAAAAAGAAGGTATTTAAGCCTGAAATTGTCTATACTTGATCAGTTGACGCTCAACTCTAGTAATTGTTTTATGCTGTCGTGATCATAAAATCAGACCGAGCTCCTGGTCAAGACACTTTCCCATGTGAAATGCCCCCATACCCAGATACAGTGGGAATTGAGGGGAAGCTACCCCTGGGGAACCCTTTTCTAGTGGACCTGGTCCTGAAAGTACATCCCCCGTGCCCGTGTTGGCGTGCCGTGAAGTGCGCCGAGGTCAAACATTTGCCGATAAACGGGCCTCCGCATGCTCCAGGAGCAGATCTATCATCATCATCATCCAATTGCTTCTGATCGCATTAACTCATCTTAGTTCCAATGACCCTCTTATTTTCTTTCCTAATGGAGTCATAATATACGGCGACTAGGCGTTTTTGATTGCCTTTTACGTTTAAAGTATTTGTCTCTTTATGTCTTTCACATATACCAGTCGCTTCACAATCAAGTTCGAGCTTGTTATTCTCCTTTCCATTCTTGACCTTCTGTCTGTGGGGTTCCGTTATCTCGGCCAACAAGCCGCGGTCCGGACGGCTCCAGGTCCGATAAAGGACCCCAGTTCGAAGGTTAGGCTTGAGCTGGACGCAATCGCCACCACCTCTGTCGGCCGCAATTTGCGAGTCGCGAGCCATCCTCCTTCATAAAACATAGCCGCCAATATGGCGGACTCAGTAGGTATGCTGCATTTTTCAATTTGCGCCTAATATGTTGTACCATGGTGGCTGACGTGATGATACAGATCGCGTGTTTGTACACGCTCTCAATACCGTCAAAAAGATACCCAAGACTGGCGCATCGAGACCACCTCCAACCGATCGACTCCGACTCTATGGACTTTATAAGCAGGCAATGGAGGGTGATGTCGACGGTGTAATGGAACGTCCAACAGCCGCCTCCGGAATGGCTTCCGACGACCTACAGCGCGAAAAGGACAAATGGGATGCATGGAATCTGCAAAAGGGACTAAGCCGAACAGAATCTAAGAGAAGGTATATCGAGGCGCTGATAGATACGATGCATCGATATGCGACCACACCGTAAGCGCTCTCCTGAAGCCCACCTTAGGCTACGGTACGATCGGGTTACACTAACACAGCCTCCCAGTGATGCCGAAGAACTCGTGTCGGAACTCGAATTTGTCTGGAATCAAATCAAGAACAATAGTCCAAGCTCATCATTATCGTCGCCGCGAGCGAATCGATCGGCCGGTGCATCCCAACCATACGAAGACGCCGGGCAAGCAAGCGACGCCGAAGGTCCTATGAAGGAGATCAGACCGATGAGCGAGTACGACGAAGCGGAACTTCGGTCCCAGAAGCAATTAGAACTCGAGGACGATGATATCGATGGAGCGCAAAATCACGATCGGGTCAGTGGCCGATGGCAGCGAAAGGTCGAGCGTGCCTTGACAACGATGTCGGCCGAGGTAGCTGCGTTACGAGAACAAATTACAACAGGTCGAGAGTGGCGGACAAAGAAGGAGCGTAGCTTACCAGCTTGGGTGAAGTGGTTCGCCTGGTTGGTTGTAAAGCATTTGTTCGCCGACTTTGTCATTCTGACTGTTGTGTTATTATGGCTAAGAAAGCGCAAGGACCGTCGCCTGGAAGATCTGGTGAGGGCAGCTGTCAGGCTTGTTAGGGAGTATGTTCGAAATGTGTTGCCGTCTCGAGGGTGATGGCTTGGCAGTGTACGATCTGACAGCTGCAGTCCTCGAGGTCAGGTCAGAACGACCTCAATTTTTGGTCACTCAGCAAGGTAACGATGATCAGGCTTATATCACCAGGGCACATCACTGCCTCTCACCATCTTGGATGGTAGCCATGGCTCTGTCAAACTGTCATGCCAATTTGACATACGTTGGCCATGAAGGGCACATACTCAAGCTGAGGAATGCGTAAGGGCGCCTTGGTAGACTTTCTGTTAGGCAACCAAACGATGATTACTGTGGGTGTACAATCACAAATATCCGGCGCTTTATGGAGTATGGGATTTATCATTGTATTTATAACAAGAGAAGCGTGGTCATTGTGTATTTTGGAGTATGTACCAGGTAGATATTGGCATATGTGGTGTTTGTTGTAGAACCTCCCAAGCCATTTATCAACATGAGTTAAGACCTTGTTTCATGATGACGGAATGCTGTTGAATACCTATAGGGCATTATCATATCAAGATCGCTGGAGACTGGCTCAGCCAAAAAGAAGTGGCAGCCCGGATCAATAAACCGTTTTCCTTTTTTTCGTACCTTATTTTCACTTTCACTCAAGGTTGCCCATTGCACCTATGCAGGTACAGACACAGTCATCCAACCATTCACACTACAACCCTCCAATTCGCCCTCCACCAGCCCACTCACCTCCGACATCATCAGCCTCAGTGCAACACCAACTGCACAAACAGCCACAAAGTTTGCCATGTCTCATACTACATTCCACCAAAACACTTAAAAAAGCCATGGCGCAACTTCCTCGACCTACGGCGACCGTTGACCCTTTGGCGGGAGTTCCAGACCCTGAAGGTCATCCCATCATCCCAAGGCTTATGTCCTGCGCACCAGCCCTCTTCTGCCCTATCGGCGAAAACGACATACTCAAGGACTCCCTCAGCTCTTCCTCATTCACAAAACTTGATCGCCTACAGAAAGAGCTCGATACTCTGAATACTCACGCAGTCAAAGACCGAGATAACTTCCTCGCCCTTATTGTTCGCGAACGTGAACGCATCTTCCAGGAAGGGCGCCGCTTTGAAGCCCTTGAGGAGCTGCAGGGCGGCCAGGTCAAACCAGATGTACCACTCGGTCTTACATCCCAGGAACTCGGCCTCATGGTCGCAAATATGGAAGCTCCAGCAAAGTCAGGTGTCCCAAATACGGAGACTATACCTAGACCAAATCTTGACTCCTCCGGTGCTCGATCATTGCGCGAACGCCAAGCTTACGAGCAGATGCGTTATGTGTTAAATTTCTCGCAGATAGCCGGGAATCGTGAGGCTGAAATCAACCATCGCCGCGAGCTCCTTGAGGCAGAAATCAAGAAGGAGCAGTTAAGGCAAGACCAGGAGCGTCGAGTCAACTAGAATTCGGCTCATTCACCTGGACAACAGCATACCATACCTCAGACCATCAAGTATGTCAATGGGGCGTCAGAAGTCAATCGCGACAAAGAGATGTTCATGTTCCTCACGAACCCGAATCGGAAGCGAAAGTTGCCATGAGGAATCATTTAACGAGGTGCACATCGTAGTGAAGGAATTAGGTATTCAACTCATCTACCTTCAGCCTCCGTCCGACGTCCTATATGTACAGATGCCACGAACTTCCAAGACGCATAAAAACAAAGCAAATATTTCTATTCTTTTGCAGCCACCACCTCATACGCCGTACTCGACCTGGCCCATGGGCTTATCCTCCTCCATGCCAGGAGCCATAAAGTTTGTCCTGGGGTCACCGGTAGCCTTGGCCGCTGAGCAGCGAGCCATTGTGGGAGAGCTAGGCATAATGTTAATAGGGAAATCTAATGAATTATGAACCAAGTTCACATACCTTCGTGAGATAACATCTGTGAAGTAAAAGTTGTCGATAACCTTCTTGAGAGGTGCTCCAGTAACCTGGGCACCCTTGTTCTGGTCGACAAGCTGGACCTTGCTCAGAGCAGGGAGAGCAACGGGCTCGACGACGTCGTAAGCAGCGAGAGCAGGGCTGATCTCAACCATACGATCTCGGACCATGGCGACATCGTCATAAGGGAGGGGAGCGCCAAGGAACTCACTGGCAGCTCGGAGAATCTTCCAGTCAGTTCGAGAGGCACCAGGGAGGGAGGTAGCGGCTCGGGTCATCTGGACACGACCCTCAGTGTTGATGTAGGTACCAGCCTTCTCAGTGTAGGCAGCACCAGGAAGAACGATGTCAGCAATTTGAGCGCCCTTGTCACCGTGGTGACCCTGATAGACAACAAAAGCGTCCTTGGGGATATCCGCCTCGTTCACCTCATCAGCACCAAGGAGCCAGACGAACTTAGGCTTGGTCTGGGCAACCTCAGCAGAGGGAGTAGTGAAGCCAACCTCAAAAGCACCAGCACGAGAAGCCTCACGCTGGAGGACGTTGTAACCCTGCCACTCCTCAGTTCGGAAGTTAGAAGCGTGCTTATCAACGAAAGCACCAATGGTCTCGTAGTACGCCTTAGCATCGGCGTGGTCAGTAACACCGGAACCAACAATGATCATAGGTCGCTTGGCATTCTTAAGGGTCTCTCCGAAGGGACCAGAGAGCGCAGACTTGAGAGCAGCGTGGTCGGTACCAAAGTGCTCGAACTCAAATGTGGAGTCCCACGTCTCACCAACAACACCGATCTCAAGGTCGGATCGGAGCCACTGCTTTCGGATACGGGCGTTGAGAACGGCAGCTTCATGTCGAGGGTTGCTGCCAACAATCAGGATTGCGTCGGCCTCCTCAATACCCCAGATCTGAGAATTGAAAAGGAAGTTGGATCGGACATCAACACCGTGGGCGATGGGCTGGCTGCCGGTAGGGGTATCGAGAGCCAGATTCTCGGAGCCAAGCTTGTTAGCCATGTCCTTGGCGACAACCAGAGACTCAACCTCAGTAAGAGCACCAGCAATAACCTTAAATTCGTTACCCTGAGGGTTCTTAATCTGATAAGCACGACCAATCTCAGTGAGAGCCTCCTCCCAGTCAGCAGGCTCGAAGCGGCCCTCACGGCGAACCAGGGGCATGGTCAGTCGCTGAGTCTTAAGGCCGTCACAAGCAAATCGGGTCTTGTCGTTGATCCACTCCTCGTTCACGTCGTCATTAAGTCGGGGGAGAATTCGCATGACCTCGAGGCCGCGGGAGTCGACACGGATGTTGGAACCAAGACCATCGAGAACGTCGATAGACTCGGTGTGCTTCAGCTCCCAGGGACGAGCTCGGAAAGCGTAGGGCTTGGAGGTGAGAGCACCAACGGGACAGAGGTCGATAACGTTACCAGACATCTCGGAGTCGAGGTTTTTCTCAAGGTAGGTGCCAATCTGAATATCGTTACCACGGCCAGTGGAACCCATCTCCGGAGCTCCGGCAATATCGTTGGAGAAACGAATACATCGGGTGCAGTGAATACATCGGTTCATCGAAGTCTTGATCAGAGGGCCAATGTTCTTGTCCTCGACGGCTCGCTTGCCGCCAATCTCGTGGAATCGGCCTCGGTCGGCTCCGTAACGCATAGACTGGTCCTGAAGATCACACTCACCACCCTGATCACAAACAGGACAGTCGAGGGGATGGTTGGCTAGCAAAAATTCCATGACACCCTCACGGGCCTTATGGGTAAGAGGAGAATTGGTCTTGACAACCATTCCGGGCTGTACAGGCCAAGCACAAGAGGCAACGGGCTTCGGTGCCCTCTCGACCTCCACCAGACACATTCGGCAGTTACCGGCAATCATAAGCTTCCTGAAGCATTGTCAGCGATGGGTCGATCGTGGGAGGATTCGAGGGTATCGTACTCATGGTAGCAGTATCTAGAGATAGTTAGCTAGGTTACTTTAACTTGGCATGATCGTCTTGACCTACCGAGGGACTGTTGAGCCCGCCTTCTCGCAGGCTTGAATAAGAGCAGAACCAGCTACAATTCTGTCAATAGGCGTCCATGAATACACCCAAGCAACCCATCATACCTTCAATCGAAACCTTCTTTCCATCTAGTATCAATGTTAGCCTCTGTTTCGTTGTCAATGGCTTTATGCACAAAGATGCTCACCAATTGTCAGCTCCACCTCGGCCGGGCGCTGGCTTGTCGTCGCGAAGGTTCGTGAGACATTGACCGCCCGCCGGCTCGTCCGCCAAGCCGAACGTGCTAGAGAATTTCGGAGCATCGTGTCGCCTTGACGGAGGGAAGATGAAAAGGGTTGCAGGGTCGCTGGCGGCGAATATATGCTCAGTCGTTGACGTCTTGAAAGGGAACCTGCTGTTCGGGTGATGGATTTAGTGGCGCTAGTCCGCGATTAATTTACGTTAATGCTCATTGGTCAGTGTCGTTTTATTTTTGCCTCAGGCCACAGCACTGGGTCCTACCTCATATTTTGCATTTTGCTGCCGGAGCTTTTTGAATTTTTCTTCTTCTACCAAATTAATTGTACACGGGCACACTTTATTGTAGGTGAGCTTGCGCAACAGATCTGCTTCGGTAGAGCTGTTGCTTCAGTCGAGTCTTCCTCTATCTTGTGCTCAAGATCAATATTCACGCCGTTTATGGAAGCATGGGAGAGTAACTAATCTCCATGACCGCTGCCTCTTACCGCCGGTCGTTACATATCACCAACTAAATACTTAGGATAGTTGTAGATTTTGCATGAACCGCAGGTGTACGTGTCTCCATTCAGGGTCTATCTGGTACCTATCTATGAACTGCAGCTGCATTGCATAGCTCGCTCGGTCTTTGGGGGATCATCTGTCCATCGAAGCTCCTCATCCTTATCACCATTGTATGTCTTTCCATCGAATGTCTCGCCATCCCAGCGATCTTCAAATGGGTTGAGGGACATATGCATGACGCGGTTCAGCACATCTCGCTCACCGTCCTTCTCAACGCGTTGGATAAGCTCATCAAGGATCCAGCCGCGAGGCACGAAGTTGGGATTCACACACTTCATCGCCTCGATTCTCTCCCTGTCTTTGGATTCTGAGACGTTCTCTCCTTCATCCTTCCAATCTTCGATGATGCGCTCGCGCCAGCTTTCAAGCCAGATCGCAAGACGCGCTCTGGCATCCTCTTCAGAAATAGTTGTTGGAGGGCCTTCTTTGTGGAAGAAGACAGACGCCTTCTCGTTACGTGCTTCTCCCGTGGCGATATCCTGCAACTTGATCTTGCTGAGACGACGGAAGAAGTGGTGAAAGTCAAGTTCCAGGGCCTCCAAAGTGTCGAGAGCCTCGCTGAAAAGGATATCAAAGTCAGAATCCTTGTGTGTCTTCAGACCCAGACGAGCGGTCATGAGTCGTTTGTACTCTGCAAGGAACACTGCCTTGTACTCTTCTCCAGCCTGTGTGATAAGCTTCTCGGCCCTTGCCACTACTTCAGCCTCTTGTTCTTTAGCAACGCCTTCATTGACGAAGGTTGAATCGTCAACATTGGCGCCCGCCCCCATCAGTTCACCGATTGCCTCGCCAAAACGAACGAGATTCCACCAGATTATGGTGGGTTGGTTTCTGTAACTATAACGAAGGGTGTAATCATCATGATTGGGTGTATATGCAGGATCAAAATTGTCCATGAAAGCAAATGGGCCAAAATCTATCGATAGCCCATAGATCGAGGTGTTGTCCGTGTTCTATTATGGGTCAGCAGGGTTTCTATTTTGGAGTTATGAACAACTTACCAAAACACCATTCATAAACCCATACGCTTGCCAATTGGCCACCACCTTGGCATTGCGTCGTACAACTTCACGGTAAAATCTCGTAAATCTGTTCTCCTCAGAACCATCAGCTCCTTCAATAGTCTCAGCGGAAACTCCACGCTTCGGATCCAGTGACTTGGCAGGCTCATCAGGCTCTTCAAGTCGACCTGGCAGCTTATCCCAACCACGAAAAACATCCTCGGCGATGTATGTGGCCAGTTGTCTGATAAGCTTACGGTCTCCTCTAGCTCGAAGGATGTCAAAGTTACCAAGACGCAACCACGACTGTGCAAAACGCAAAACGATGGCGCCTGGCTCAATCGTCTCTCGACGAACCTTTGAATTTGGCAGAAGAGTAAGTGATAGAGCTCTGGTAGTGGGGATCTTGAGGGCGTTGAGTGCTTCTGAGACAATGAACTCTCGGATACTGGATCGTAAGACGGCCTTTCCATCGGCGAACCGGGAGTAAGGTGTCAGGCCAGCACCCTTAAGTTGAAGCTCATAGTGCTCGCCAGAGGCAGGGTTGGTAGTCTCAAAAAGAGAAATAGCTCTGCCATCGCCTAGTTGACCAGCCCATTGTCCGAATTGGAAGCCTCCGTAGCATTGAGCCCAGGGATATCCACCCTCGAGCTTCTCTTCATCCCAGCCATATAACTTGTTCCCAGCTACTAGCTGTCTAAAGTCGTCGGTGGACTCTTCTCCAGACTTGATTCCCAAATCGCGCAAAGCAGCTGGACTAATAGCTAGGAGCTCCGGATCCTTCTGTTCAGCAGGCCGGACCCAGGTGTATACGGCATTACGAACTTGCCGAGGTGTAATCTGATCTCGGGGGGTTTCGTGGGAGTCGGCAGGCGTTGGGAAGATGGAATCGGCGGGAAGGGATTCGGTAAAATGCCACGACTTGGGAAGATCCGCAAGTGTCGCGCCTTCGTAGCTGGACGCAGGCGATAATGCGCCGTTGCCGTTAGAAATATGGGCAGCCATTTGCTTGAGTCTTGGTAAATGTGATGCTGGTGGTGAGCGCGGGACAGCTCTGCGTAGGGCGTTGCGACAGAGCATCAACGGCGGGATATTATATTTGGGGAAGAGATGAGTTTATAGGGAGTGTGTAAGCATTTGGAATCATTTATGTACACATTAAAGAAGGCGACACTTCAATGGTTGATGGTGATGTGACGGTGTTTGGCTGACAAAAGTGGCAATTACTGACGGTTATCATCGTCTTTCTTGACATCACCTCTGGTTTACGCTCCGGAGCTTCGGTGCCGCCCCACGATCTAGATCTAACAGGACTGACTCTTCAGTAAACCAGGCCCCGGTTATTCGGACGCATGTAAGACGGAACCGGGCCGCTATTCAACCTCATTTACATGATAGAAGAGAGTACGTGAAATCAAAATGATTACCATAAATCAATCAAGTCCAAGAGCCTTGCATTGGCCCATCACTTGATCGGCTTTTGGTCTTTGGCGAGTTACCCTGTATCTTCTGCAAGTCGCTTACCATGATGATGCAGTTAAACAGTCGACATGAACTTAGGACTTTGGAACCTTACGTCAAAGCTAAGCCCTGAACTTGGGAGCTGATTGAGAGGTTGTGATCATCATGTTGATTGTAACTCGCCCAGCTGAAGCAATTCTCTATACGTATCTGACATAAAATATCAAACAGCACATCAAGCCTTCTACTACGACCTGTCATTCTCATCAAACTTGTTCCTCCAAAATCCACGGAAATGCTTCTTGGCACCAAGTCTAGAGATCTCAGCAATCTCATCCTGTGTCAACTTGAACTTAGGTAGCTTAGCCAAGTATCCCTCAAGTCGTTCAACCTTGTTGCTTGTTGTGAGTGCAATGATGTCCTGGTCAATGACCCATCGAAGACCGACTTCGCTTTCTGTCACGCCGTACTTCTCGGCCAACTTTGTGTAGAAAGGGTCGACAGGTCCGCCCTTAGCTGTAACAATAGGAGTAAGGGGGCCGTAAGCAGAAACGGCAATGCTATGCTTCTTGTGAAAGTCAACAAGATCACCGTGCTGGAGATATGGGTGGTACTCAATCTGGTTGATAGCAGGCTTGACCTTGGCGGTCTTGAGAATAGCTTCAATGTGCGGCTGGAGGAAGTTCGAAACACCGATAGACTTGGCCTTGCCAGACTCCTTGATCTGCTCCAGCTCAGCCCAACGCTGTTGGAGGTCCTCGTCGGTTTCGGCAAACCAAGGGCCATGAATCAGGTAGAGATCCACATACTCTAGTCCCAGCTTCTGGAGAGAAACATTGAAAGAGTCAATAGCAGAACCCTTCTTCTCAGCAGGGATCTTGGTGGTGACATAGAGCTGTTCTCGAGGAACACCACCAGCCTTGATGGCTTGTCCAAGCTCCTCTTCGTTGCCATAGACTGTAAATCTGTCAGTTGTAGCCATGCCTTAATACTTTATTCTGCTCACCTTCGGCACCGTCTAGATGACGATATCCAGTCTTGATAGCCTTGGTGGTGATATCGACTACATGCTGGTCAAGTCCACTCTGGGGGTCTTTCTTGTACTGAGCCGTTCCCAGACCGAAAGCTAGCTAATGATTATGAGTGCCATGTTCCGTGCCGAAGATGATTTGGTCTGTTCATGGTTCTTTCGGAATGAAAGAGGATAAACTTACAACCGGAATCTCATTGCCGTCATTGAGTTTGTAGGTGGGGACATCTTTTGTAGCGACAATGCCCATCTTGACGGTATTTCTCAATTTTAGTGAGTGAGGAATGTGTTTCAAGGATGAATTGATTAGATCTTCAGAGTCCAGAACGAGGAATTTGGTTGATGAAGAAGAGTGATTGCCGCGGATAGTAGGCACATAGCCGCATTGGCTTAAATAGGCGGTCCCCCTTCCTTGTACGGATACTTGATCTCCTCCCCCACCCTCGGATTTGATATGGCGATTTGCGGCGGGACAATTCCGTGATTTATAACGACATGTATGAGAATGGAGTAAAGAGGAGATAAGTTACTAAGTAGTATTGCATTATTAATATGAAGTGGGTTGTAGAATATTCGCAATTGTAACAGTTAGTAGCGAGACCATACGTATAAGATGTTACTCTAGATTCGGCTGAGCACTCTCTACCTTATAGTAGACCTTGTAACACTCGAACTTTGTTCCAAGATGTCCTTGAGAGACATATTCCTTATTTTTTTCATAATACCCCAAATTCAAAACGCTTGTAAGTTATTAAATGCTCATTGCTGGCTTGTGTTCCTTAACAAGCCCGCCTTGGTTGACTGTGTTTTGCTTTTGAGTTGAACGCTAGGCTAGTTGATGTCACTATAATGCACTCATGCATGCTGCGTATGCTCAATACAGAATAGACGGCAATTCATTACATCAATGACGACTGAATGTATATGAAAGACGTGACCTCATTTGTTTTGGTCCATCTTGCATCTGGTATGTTGTGAGAGAACAAACAATATACAGATATAGTGGCTTGCCGATATCGGCCATGTAACAACTAACACATGAAATATATATACCTAAACTTTAAAAACAATGCACAGCACTATTTCGCCAAAATGTCATCAACCGTCATTCACAGCTCATCGTCGGACTCGGTATCGCTCCCTGCAGTCGCAGGCGCAGGTGTAGGCTTTGTTGATTTCTTTGTCTCGAACGGGAGAGCTCGAGGTGGCGGCGGTCTTTCACTTTCTTTGGAAGAAGTCTTTCCTCGTGAAACAGCGGCTTGTGCTTTGTTCTGTTGAGGAGAACTTAAGTCAATCCCATCGTCATCTCCGTCATCGCTATCAACGGATGCTGTCGCTTCTGTGGTGTTTCCGGGATCCGTATCCTCGGCCTCCTGCTTAAGGTCGACGCTCATTGTGTCAACAGCATCATCGTCATCTGACTCCTCAACTCTTCTTGACGCGGGGGCCTTTCTTTTCGACGCCCTTGACTTGCCAGCTTGACGAGCAGGCTTCCTTGGTTTCGGTTGCTGAACCTCGGCTTCAACAACCTGTGAAGGTTGCGATTGGCCTGCCATGCCGGGATTTGTTGATAGTGTTGCCAATACTTGCTGCTGCTCGCGAATTTTGACCTTCTTCTCGTTTAGGAGATCCCTAAACTTCCTTAGCAGCGCTGTCTCATCCTCATCTTTCGCTTTGATTAGCTCTTCCAACTGCAACTGAAGCTGGGCCACAGCAGCCTCCGACTCGGAGGATTTGGCCGACAGGTTGGCCGCAGTCTGTTTACTTGAGACAGAGGACTCGACCGCTGCACCACACCAATCGAATAACTCAATGGCCTCGTCTGGATCATGATTGAGGGTGATTGAGCCCAGACGTTGCTAAAACGGTTAGTAACGAGACTATGTTTTAGAATGGCATCATGGTCTTACAGTAATACCCTGTATATCCTTTCGAATGGTGATTGAGATAGACCTTTTACTCTGGACCGTGGCTGTGGCTTGAATATCTGGAAGGGGTTCCTGCTGAAACAAGTCTTCGAGAATCTGCTGCCATTCGTTCTCTGAAGCAGGGCAATTCTTCACACGGAGAGACACGACCTTATCATGTTTCACTATCAACAAAGTTAGATTTAGGGATCGAAAAGGTGATCACATTCGCGCCAGTGCTGGAGATTGCAGACAAGGGTCTCCCAGATTGCGATGTTGGAGGGAGGGTAATGGAATGACTTACATGATGCGACATACGGCTCCTCTCCTTCAGTGCCCACCAGCTTCAGATCAAGTTGTTTTGAACCCTTGGGTGTGGCTTGCAAAAGGACAAAGGAAGACTTGTCGTCACTCCGGGGGAACCTGAGGACTCGAACTTGAGAAGCCATTGGGAACAAGGTAGGTACCGGTAGACAGGGTCCAGTGAGACTCGTGCGGTTGTCGAGACCTGGGGTTCAGATCGAGGCTGGTGGAATGATGACAGATGACGGGGCGCCCCGGGAAGAATCTTGATGGAGCGTTTGAACTCCCTTGTCAAAGAAGCGAGTGAGACACGGTATACGGGCCGAGGAGATCAGTGTTTGAAAGCTGGCTTATTTGAGGAATGGGGGCTTTGGATTAAGTATCAAAGCACGTATCAGCTTGGAGCTATATAACCAGTCTGGGCGAGATTCGAGCGCCGAGGGGATGTCTGATGAGAGAAGAGTTATAAAATGAACGAGGGTGTGATGGTATTGATAAGTGTATTATATAGAGATACTCGAACTGGGTTTCGGTATTACGCCGTCAGGTTCTTTGTAGTTGTGAAAGACGGTGTTGATGGTTGGTGCTTGGACCGTTTCTTTGAGAGATCTGTGAAGCTCTCTGCTTATTTTTCATACATTGTATATATCGGGGGCTTGGGCGTGGCTTGAAAAGATCGTCCCACAGTCAGGGAATGATAAGAGAAAGAGGAATTTCTTGGTTGTTAGAGTTTACGTTTCTCCTTCGTTATTTAATAAGTCGATTTAAGTGTAGGCAGCCGTTCCACTTGGAGCCAGTCACGAAATGCATTCATGTACAATGAAGCGGTTGGCTGCAGGCTGCAACCCATTTTAGGCGATGCCTGTTCAGGGCAGCTCCAGGGCACCTCTGGGCCACATGGCCATCCGCTTCAGGAACCTGCCGCTAAGCCTACCTTAGGTAGTATCAGGAGGGACCTATGATTTTGGCCTTTGTCCGGTTAGTTTACTAAGTGTTCATCATATGAGCTTTGATGATTCTTTATGTCAGTCTATCAACAGCATACCATTGTAAAACTCAATATCGGCGAAATATGAAAAATAATGTTGGCGTTTTTCGTAACTGTGATCCCATTCCAGAAGTCTGAGGCCTGGATGTATCAATCTCGTAAAAGAGCCTATTGATATTTGTGTCTTGCAAGACGCATCTTACAACTGGAACATTTACTAGGGGCCTTCCCTTGACGAGCTTCAACTTCAGAAATCTCGGGCATGATATCGTGCCTAGAACTGACTGGTGGAGTAGGAAGCCGGTATATAATCGTGTACTGATATTTTCGACGAGACATGTTGGAGGGAGGTTAATCTATGCGGGACAGTGGCATGGGGACGACGAAATTATCATCATCTTAATAGCCAGGGTATGCTACCTGTCTGTTTGTCTGTTCAGGTTTTTAGCTTTGTGAGATCACCCAAGATCGTCCAGGCACGCCAGGCACAAGATATGGAGGCGAAAAGCTTGGAAAACGAGCTGAATTAAGCTGACGGAGCTGGCGCTTGATCAACCAGCCACCAAACACAAACTGGTGACGTCCTATGAAGAAAACTTCGACTTGTCGCGACTATGACGCGTGAAGGTTCGGCCAATCGGGCGGTTCCCCTTACTACAAACGGTTCTGCTTCCACAGACAAGAAACTCATTGTTTTCGCAGCTAAACTTGTTGTGCAACGATAGTCACGTGAAGCCACTCTCAATTCTCAACCTGCCTCCGATTTTTCCTTCCAAGGTCTGGTCACATTCTGGTTCGTCCAAGAGAGACCTTTTCAGGTGTAGCGTCTGTAAGCATTCTGGCGTAGTGCTTAAATAGCGCAGCAGCCAAGAGCTGACCTAGCGATAGCAGTACCCAGCAACTGATGGCTACAGTGGGCACGTCCCTTAACAGTTAGCGGGGACCACCTCCAGCCACGCTCAGAGTTAACCCCCCAGCCTTCCATTTCTCTACCAAGCTGGAGTGGAGTGGAGGTGCATTGTGATTCACAGACAGGCAGTCGGGGGCACCTCAGTCACCCACCAAACTAAACAAACCAATCCACCTCATCCACCGCCGACCGCATTCCTGACCTTTGCATCCTGTCTCGCACGTCACCCTCTCGACCATCAAAAAATCCTCACCTACAGATATCAAATTCGGTTCCCCTCTTCGAACGAGCTTTTCCTGTGTCGATCTTAGTTTTTTCTTTCTGTTCATCCGCTCGCAATACACGGCGACTTGGCGACAGTTTTCTTTGTTACTATTGTCACCACATTTCGCTTCTCCGCCCACATTTGAATACTTGATCAGCGATTCGCACAAAGCGACTACAAACGCATCTGCAGCATTCGCGAAACCTTTCCCTACGATTGTCGATTTTTTTCTACTATTCTTGACGCCGCTTCCTCCTCAACCGTCTTGTCACGCTTGAAGGATATGCTATCGTATGCGGGGAACAATTGTCATTGATAATAATGACTACACGCAATTGACATCGCGTTCCCAACAGCCAGGCCAACCAACACTATTTGCCAAACTTTGGCCTCAGCAGATAGATTGCGTACTACACATAACAACACATTCACTACCATGGAACCCTTACGACTTAAGCCCAGACAGCCCGTCGAGGCCGGCATAGAAAACTGGGACGACGATGACTTTGTGGTGGAAGGCGACGATTTATCCTTCCGCAGCCCATCTACTGCCACGAACAATCCTTCGCGACCATCCTCTTCAAGGCGGCGCGATTCTGGGTCATCCCACTTTTCATTTAGATCTGAACTTGAAGGAGAAGAAGAGCAACATGTCCATATCCCAGGAGATGACGAGAAGTCAACGCTGGATGCCATCGCCGCAGCCCAAAATGCCGGCATCCCATTACCATCAAATGTACCATCTTCTGCTCTCATGGGAGGTACTATCAAACGTCTTGGTGGACGAAAAATCCGCAAGATCATCCAAGACGATTGGGAGAACGACCTAGAGATCCCCGACTCCTCACAAGGTCTAAAGATGAAGAAACCGGAGCAACCTAAATCTCCCGAGACCTCGCGGCATGTCAGCTTTGGATCATCTACACATACTAGCCCTATTAGCTGGGGCAACTCACCCCCTACTTCTCCCTTTGACAAAGTCAATCGACGTGAGTCTACTCAATCAATTCAGTCTATCCAAAGCATGCAGTCTATTCAGTCTGCCACGAGCAGTCTTTCTGCCGCCATAAATTTGGATAGGTTTAAAGACGCTGATGACGATGATGACTTTTTTGGAGACGGAGGCGACACTATTAGAGCCTCTAAGAGTCGTCAACTTCCAAAACCTGTTTCTTTTATCACACCGCCTACTCCTCAGAGAGAAACCAAACCCTCCAACCCAGAGGATGATTTTGAGATGGATCTTGAGCTTCCATCAGACGGAAAACTTAAACTCTCCACCAGAAAGGAGATCCCCAAGACACCTTCCAACCAGTCAGAGGATCTGGACTGGGGAGAAGGAAGCCTAGGCACTCGATATGGTGGCACTAGGCGAGACGCGCGTTCTGCCCGAAGCTCCGCGGCTTCTGCGCTTAGCCCAAGTGTGTCAAGTTCTATCACTGCTGAAAGTGAAGATGAGACTTTTGATGGACTTGTCCTCCCCCCCGGGCCTGTTAACTGGACTGAGAGGCTTCAACAGAGGCGGAAGAGTCGATCGCCCAACCGCATCTCCGAAGAACCTATTGTACCCGCAAAGAAGATCCCGGCAGCTGAAGCCGATAAGCCTGATTTTCTTGATGGCCTTGACCTCGGTGAAGGAGATGTCTTTGATTCGAGCAAGCTCACTCTGCACAAGAATGTCAGAGTCAAAGAAACACGACCGGCGAGCCCGGCTCGACCCAAAGCGGCAGTGTCGCTTACATTTACACACAAACCACTCAATTCAACACGGATACCTCGGTTGAATCACCACGAACGAACACACTCGACATCGTTGGAGCCTGTCTCCGAGAGCGGCGGCCCTATCCCCCAGCGCACTCGTCGCTCACATTCCAGATTGGGCCACTCATCCCAATCCTCCATCGTCAGCCTGCCAACTCCTACTACGACCTCACCATCTCATGGGCTGCCGCCCACTCCACGCAGAAGGGAAGTCAATCTTCGCACCTCTACAAATTCACTTCGGACTGAGCCGACAACCACTAGTGCCCAGCTACTGAAACAAAAACGCTCCCTGCCTGCCATTCGGGGACAGAACACTCCGGCCAAGCAGCCTTCTTACCGTCATGAGAGACCTCCTTCAAGGTCGGAAAATAATCGACCATCGTCAGGAGTGAGGCCAAAGACGCCCACAGAACGTCAGCGATATGGCGCGGCAGATAGCCCGGCAACTGTCCGCAAGTCTCACCTGCCATTTCTGCCTGCTGGAGCTTCTCAGTCGCAGTCGCAGCACGTTGCTACAAAGCAGACTCGTGGATTCCGTCGACATGATTCAGACAATTCTATTAGTTCTATTGACCTACGCCCTAGCTCTCGTACACTTTCCCGGTCGACAATGCGATCACCCAGCCCAAACCATCGCCACCGCATTACTGCCGATACTTGGGAGCGTTTGAGCAAGCCAAAGAACAAGAAGAACTTTGGCGATGGTCACGAATTGGACGGTTTTGATGATTTACCCACATCCAAAGAGACCGAGACAAAGTACCTGAAGCAACCTACTAGCTCAGGACCAAAGGTTGCTTTGCGTAACAAGCTGTATCAAAACGTTCTGCCAGACAGGAACACTACCACGTCTCCATCAATACCTCCTACCCCTCGACCATCCTTTACTCCTCACTTTGCTCGTGATACTGCTGCAAGCAGAATTGCCCGAGAGACTGCTCTGGCTCAACGGGTCCCTAGCAGCGGCCCGTTGACGCCTCTGAACTCCCAGCGTGTCGCTCACCTTTCCTCGCGAGGCAATCTGACTCCTACCATCCCCCAGTCGAATATTCGATCGAGAAAGCACAAGCGACCACAGCAGACCAAGCCTCATTTGATTTCAAACCTGAATAGTGGTAAAGAGTCGAAGAGTAAGTCTACTAACGCTCGTGTTGAAACTATCGCTAACAAGACACAGTGGTGAATGGCATGTTCTACAACGCAGACACATACAGATGGGAAGGCAATGAGAACGCCCTCAATGTTTTTGAACCCCCTGTACAAACACCTACTAAAGCAGTTGTGTCAAGCAACACCCGCGAGAAGGAAACGTCAACACCTCGCCCTGCACTCATTACTAATATCAGCGCCACGAAGGGTGTTCAAGTTGTTGGTGGCATGGTTTTTGATCCGCAGAACATGTGCTGGCTTAAACTTGATAATCCTGCTAAGCCGACTTCTGAGACTAGCGACACTATGGATGGGTTTGACGCGCTAGATGACGAAGACGTTTTCAAGGATATTCCTGACTTGGAAGATAATACTGCTGACGATGAGGGCGCCCAGGGTCGTGTTAGCGACATCAAGGATGAGTGGCTCGTCGGCGAAGAATTTGACGTTGGACCCGAGTTTATCAGGCGACAACGAGAAGAAGAAGATCGGTGGAGAAAGAAGTGCGAGAAATGGATCGGCCGAGGATCCAGAGATCGCGAAGCTTGGCGGTGGACGATACGCGAGCTTGTCTCACAGTTTGACGATTTGACTGTGTGAGAGAACTCGAGCCTCACGGCTCTTTATCATTCTTCGGCATCACTGTTAAGCAACAACTTGTAATACGCACACTCACCATACCGAGTAATTGTGGATACACACAATATGGCAGAGTCACCTACACGATTTATGGAACGACAACTGATTGTCATGACGGGATTACGGCTGGATACCCCCTGGTGGTTTGGGTCGACATGACTCTGGTTTTTGACATTTTTCTCGCTCTATTTTGTTTGTTTTTTGCCAGCGCCAAAGGGATATTGATGACGACCATGTACTATATGGCAAAAAAGGGTTGGGCTGACTTTGGGTTTTGGGGAATGATAGAAAAAATGGCGGCCAGCGGCAAACCCCCTTACGGCTGGGAAGCTGGGCTATTTGATGACGATATGAACTTGACGACCTGCTTTATTAGCCACAACATTCTTTTATTCATTTCTTTTGTGGTCTAGTTAGATTTCATATCAAATGAGATGCTTATAACAAAATGATATGCTCTTGCAGTTGATATTTTTGTAATATGGGTGGATTCCAAACACTTTTGTTTATTATCTAGCGTATAATATGAAAAACCCTCTACGTGAACAACACTAAAAGTCGTCAAACCCATAACCATTTTTAGAACAAGAAACTCCCGCAAACGGCTGAGCAGTTGGTATCTACTTCTGCTTTTTGCTCTCCTTCTCCTTCGTTGCCTTTTTGCTGTTACTTTTAGGATCCAGACCTCTTCGGCGCATGGCATTCCTTCGTCCCTTCTCCATGTACTCCTTATCTTCCTCTTCATCCCAGCCGCCAAAGTCGTCGTCGGGCTTTGTCTTGCCTGTCTCCTCATCATCTGTGGCGATGGGTGTTCTGTCGATGACCTCGTCCCCATCCGCGGGGCCAGTAGAACGGTCGCGAGCGTTGGAGGCGTTGGCGGGCGTGGGGCCGATCTTATGGAACTTGGCAACGAAGAAACCGTCCACGTTGTAGGTATGAGGGTAGTAGCGGCGGGTGTGGCGCATAGAGGGGTCGAACTTCTTGCCCATGTAGCTGGTGAAGCCCTCCTTTCCAAATGCGAGACCAGCATCGACGAGGCGAACATTGGGACGACGAGAGAGGGCGTACTGAACGACCTGTTCGTTCTCCTCAACGGTGACGGAACAGGTTGAGTAAACAATGTAACCGCCCGTCTTGGAGGCGTGGTTGACCGAGTCAATGGCGGCGAGAACAAGCTGCTTCTGAATATGGGGGAGTTGCATGAAGTCGCGCTCTGTCTTGTTGGTCTTGACACTAGGATCCTTCGCAATAACACCAGTTCCAGAGCAGGGAGCATCGAGAAGAACACGGTCGAAACCACCCATAGGCTTGGGGAACTCACGGGCATCATAGTTCGAGACAATGACGTTGCGCGTTCCCAGACGGTGAATGTTACCGATAAGACCCTTAGCACGAGCCTTATTAGGATCGTTAGCCACGACGATACCGGTGTTCTTCATCATAGCAGCCATATAAGTAGTCTTTCCGCCGGGGGCAGCGGCCATATCGAGCACGCGCTCGTTCTCCTGGGGGTCGAGAGCCATGCAGGGCAAGAAAGAGGACGCAGCTTGAAGAATGTAGTGGCCGGCAAGATACTCAGGAGTAGCACCGAGGGGCACGCTACTCTCGAAGACCTGGAGACCAACCTTGGACCACTTTCCGACGGGCTCAAGAGTGACACCGCGGTTGATAAGAGCCTGAGCAAGATCACGACGGTGAGTGCGCAGAGTGTTTGTGCGGATGACGACAGGACGGGCCGACTCGTTAGCCTCGAAGAAAGCAAAGGCCTCACGAGGGGTGAAGAGGTTGAAGAGCTTCTCAGCGAGATACTCAGAGTAGCCATAGTAAGAGCAGATGTCCTTGATAAGTTGAGATGTGTACTCGACTCTTGAACGACCCTCCTCGGACAGGTTGGCGAAGTCATCAAGGACGCGGATGTTCTCGGTGATTCTTGTTCGCAGAAGCTGCAGATCGGGTGCTAGGAGGGCGTTTGTCTTCTTAGAGAGCTCATCGTCGCTGTCTTCATCGGAAAGAATATGAGGCTTGTCGCCGTGGATGTTGGTTTGGAGAGCCTCTTGGGCCATCTCAGCCTCTGCTTCGGCAGCTTCCTCTGCCATTTGAGCATCCAATTTCCTTGAGAGACCCGCAATGTTGGCGGCTGTTAGCTTCTCCTCGGCGTCCGACTCGTCCTCGTCCTCAGAGAACATAGCTTTCGTGTTCTTGCCTCCAGCGTCTTCGTCAGAGTCGAATACAGAGTCATCGTCGTCTGAACCGAGAAAATCGTCACCGAGTCCGGCGCCGCCTCCCAGATCCGAATTGTCCTCGAGATCGTCAAGGTCAAATTCGTCGCCCATCTCCTCATCGGAAACGTCCTCCAGCGCCGGCACTGGGGCCTTCTTGTTCTTCTTCACCTTGCCATTAGCCTTTGACTCCGGAGCAGGCGCCGCAGCGTTTATGGGCTTGGTAACTTTTGTCTTCTTGACATCCTTCTTAGCGGCGACGCCATTTCTCTTGGGCTCGATGAGCGCCTTCTCCTTTGTGTTGGTTTTTCGCTTCTTCTTCTCGGGCGCCTCGACAACGGGATCGACAGGTAGACCGGCCTTGCGCTTGAGTTTCGCAAAGTGTTCCTCGGACAGGGGTTGAGGAGGACCCTGCTTCTTCATACGACGTCCGACACCCATTTTGAAGTGAAAAGAAAAACAATTGAAAAGTTGTCAAGAAATTAGTTTGACCGAGATGCAAAATAGATCTGGTCTTGGTTCTTGGCCTAGGAAAAGTTACAATAGATCGCGCCCCGCCGAAACTTTTTTCTGCGCGCGCTGCGATTACCAGGGTCCGATAAGCGGCAGAACTTCGTATCGGATCGCGGTGAAATGTCTTATGTAATCACTTGTCGGCGGCTTGAGCTTGCTCTGGTGGGTGTGTTCAATGACGATACTTGATGAAGCTGGCTACTATTGATTCCTACCAGTCGTTGCGAAATAGAGTATAGGGACATCTTCACAATACTTCTAGAACTCTACCTTATACAATCGACAAACTCTCTTTACTGTCCTCTGAATTTCTGACCCCGATATTTATTATCCTCGCTCAACCCCGCCTCCATCGAGCTAATAGTCAACCACAACGAAGCCATCATGATGTCTGAAACCGCTTTCGCCCAGACATTCCTGGCGTCGCTCGAGTCGCGACCTGTCCGACTCTCTGCCAATCATGTCGAAGACCCCAAGACTTACCCTGCTCGGCCACCTGTATGGTCTTCATTCTCTTCCTCCAAAACACATACTAATACCAGCTCTAGTACATCATCCCCCGCATGCCCAAGGCCATGAGCAAACCTAACAACCTCGCTCCCGGCTCCGAACGAAGCATCACTGTGTCACTCAAGTCACTTCGTAACCCTCCTCTGAGCATCAAGCTCACTTCTCAACCCCTCGACACCTCAATCTTGGATATTAAGACCAATATCGAGAAGCAGACAAGGATACCCGCCACTAAGACTAAGCTGCTGCACAACAAGAAACCTATCCCCGATAGCAAGATTCTTAAGGATCTACTAGGCGAGACGGATATGTCTATTGAGTTTACGGTTATGGTTATTGGAGGTGCCGCTGCTATTCCATCAGAGGAGCCTGAGGCCACCCCTGAGGCCCAACCCACGGGCGCCCAAGCCTTACAGACGGAGGCCTTCTGGAGTGACCTGAAAGGATTCTTGATGCAACGACTAAAGGACGAAACTGAGGCTGAACGTCTCTCTGGACTTTTCAAATCAAGTTGGGAGTCGAGTCAAGCAAACCCATAGAAGGCGACGATGTTTAGAAGCAATGAGAGCATGACAGAGACACATGAATAGATAGATACTAAAATGCCAATGGTTGCCACATACCAGCATGCGGTTTTGTTTCCCGTGGTACGTACGATACATGGCCAGGGCTGGCAATTATGCGAATTTAGGTCTCGCCTCCAGAAGCAAACTCGCTGGTCTGCGTCTCTGGAGGAAACGAAACATTCCATCGTCCCCGCGCGTTTGTTCCACCCACTCACTATGCACTCCTACTCATTTGCTTGTTTTGGTGTCTCAACTCTTGAAACAGCCATAGGTATGTTCAAATTCCACGTCCGCCCGCTTCTATATGGGAGCGCGGGCGGCGATTGGGTAGTCGGTGACAGCTCGCTTAACCAGCAAGACCCTTGCTGACGGTCTTGAGGATGGAGTCGTATTCGATGTCATCAGTGTCGTTGGCCTGGAGCTCGGTGGCAATGCCGGTGAGCGATCGCTTAAGAGCCTCCTTGGAGGAAGCGTAGATCATCTTGGGCTGTAGTTGGATGTTAGTGGGTGCCTGGATGAGATGCATTGCCAAGCGATATCGCGTGGGCCAGTCTACGTACCTGGATACCGGCATCATCGGGAGACCAGGCGATGAAGGTGATCTTGTTTCTGCCCGACTGTCAGTAACTTTAGGGTATTGAATTGGGCCATGTGGAGGCCGGAGTAGGACTGCATACCGGATACCATCGCCGGAGGCCAGGCTGTACTCGAAGTCGTAGACGGCGTAACGGGGACCCTTGCCAACAGCGCCCTACAACAGAGTGTCAGAATTGGTGATTCGGCCTCATTCTCCATTCGTCAAATAGGCATGCGTACAGTTCGGCTCTTGGAGGTAGCGTTGACCAGCTTCTCACGGAAGTCCTCCCAGTCGTTGTTGTCGGAGGCGTGCTCGACAACGATCTCCTTGTAGTCGTCGGAAAGCTTGTAAACGATGTACTTGTACTTCTTGTTAAGCTTCAGGTCGTTGAAGGCAGTTATGCAGTCCTGCGAAACGGTGGCACTGTATTTCGAAAAAGCAAAATTAAACGTTAGCGCCGTTGTCTCAAATAATGCTGTCTAGCTGTTGCGTGTTTGCCCCGCGCCAGGCGTCATAATCATGGTCGAGGGGAGGGGAGATGAGCAGCGAAGCGAGGCTCAGCCGCGGTGGAAGTGAGGATTTTATAGGCGCGTGGGGATTAAACAGCTGAGGAAGAGAGCGACAAGACGAACCCGGATTGAGACTGTGAATTATCATTAGATTCAGGGTATTTTTGGTGGCTTTATAGGGGAGCTTACCATGATTGCGGTCTACGTCAGGAGACGGGATCTTTAGGATGAGGGGTGGATGGGCTGGCGGGAGCTCTGAGTTAGCTATAGACTTCAAGTACAGGCTGTAAGAGGATGAGATTTTGGTTTAGGGCGGAGGAAAACAAGAGGGTTTCGGCGTACGTACCGAGTGGATTGAAGTGTAGGAGAGAAGAAAATCGACGGTCTCACGATGCAAAGCGAAGCGAAGCGAAAGGACAAAGTCGATGGAAACGGGCGTGAGAGTGGGTTGTATCTCTTGGGTTAGTTCAGTTTAGGCGGTAGAAAGAGAGAATTGCCTTGTATTGTCCCATAGAAAGGCGGGGCCGTTGCGGGAGAAACTTGAGTCGAGTCTCCCCTCTCTTGGTGGGGGTTGCCTGTAAGGATAGCTTCACGTGACTGGATAAGAGTGTGTGTCAGTAGAGCATTAGTTGAATGCTACATGAATTATATGGAAATCTTGACTCATGTTCATACTAAACTCTTTTGCATATGTACTGATATCTCAATTAAGACACTCTCTACTGTGTCTGTTTCTTAGACTTGGAAACTCACCCTTGTCGTAACTCGTCATCTCTTCTTTGTTCATGCAACAAACCCCTGCTTTATCTCGGCGACTCGGAACTTGCTTGCAACCCAATCCCAACGTAAAATCCAATTCTGAACACCGATATAAACATGCCATCATGTTATTCATAGTGCAATTAATGTCAAGTCACATAGGATATAAGAGCCCAGGTTTTTCAATGTTTTGCATTCTTGCCTCTCTTTTAACTTTTAGTATCTCATATCTTTTCATGATAATGCTACAATCAATGCTATATAATACATGGCTCTCAAAATCTAGCCTGAAATTCCGTAAGGGGTATGAAGACAAATGTTGTGGTCCGACAACCGATAGAGAGGAGATGAGCTTGCAAGACCACTTAACCCGTCCCAAGATAACACGCAAACCATTGTGCGCCATTCATCCATCCAGCTTTTTTTGTTATACAACACAACATAAAGTCATATCATTCCGTCTTTTACATCATACCTCCCATACCACCCATACCGCCCATGCCGCCCATGCCACCCATAGGAGGGCCACCAGCTCCCTTCTCCTCAGGGGCATCGACGATGGCAACCTCAGTGGTACCCAGAAGAGAGGCAACACCACTAGCATCGATGAGACCAGTGCGAACGACCTTGAAGGGGTCAAGGATACCGGCGTTGATCATGTCAACGTACTCGCCCTTGGAGCTATCGAAACCCTTGTTGAAGTCACCAGCGTGCTCGTCAGTAAGCTTGCCAACAACGACGGAGCTCTCAAGACCGGCGTTCTCGATGATGGTTCGTGCAGGGCGTGTGATGGCGTTCTTGACGATGCTGACACCGAGCTGCTGGTCGAAATTGGAAGTAGGAACCTCGTTAAGAGCGTGGGCAGAGGCCTTGATAAGGGCAGTACCACCACCGGGCAGGATACCCTCCTCAACGGCAGCACGGGTGGCGTTCAGGGCATCGACGAATCGGTCCTTCTTCTCACCGACCTCAACCTCAGAGGAGCCACCAACCTTGATGACGGCAACACCGCCAGAGAGCTTAGCAAGACGCTCCTGGAGCTTCTCCTTCTCATACTCAGAGGTGGTAGGGTCAGCGATGACACCACGGATCTGCTCGCATCGCTGAGCAATGGCGTCCTTGCTGCCGCTGCCGTTCAGGACAATGGTGTCCTCCTTTGTAATAGTGATAGAACCGGTAGAACCGAGCATGTCAGGGGTGGCCTTGTCAAGCTTGATGTCAAGCTCATCAGTGAAGACAGTACCGTCGGTAAGGATAGCAAGATCGCCGAGGATTGACTTGCGGTTGTCACCGAAGCCAGGGGCCTTGACAGCGGCAACCTGGAGCTGGCCACGGAGTTTGTTCAGGATGCAAACAGCGAGAGCCTCACCCTCGATGTCCTCAGCAATGATGACAAGAGGTCGTCGCTGCTGGGTGGAGACCTCAAGAGCGGGGATGATGTCCTGAACAGCAGAGATCTTCTTCTCAGAGAGGAGGATGAGAGGGTTCTCAAATTCGACCTTCTGGGACTTGGTATCGGTGATGAAGTAGGGGGAGACGAAGCCACGGTCGAATCGCATACCCTCGGTGACCTCAAGCTCATCGGCAACGGTCTTGCCCTCCTTGCAGGTGATGACACCCTCCTTGCCAACCTTCTCCATGGCGTTGGCAATCATCTGACCGATGTGGACATCGCCGTTGGCGGAGATGGTAGCGACCTGAGCGATCTCAGCGCTGGTAGTAATATCACGCTTGTTCTTCTGGAGGAACTCGACGACGGCCTCAACAGCGGCCTGGATACCGCGGCGGAGGTCCATAGGGTTGCAGCCAGCGGCGACGTTCTTGACGGTCTCGGAAAAGATGGCACGGGCGAGAACGGTAGCGGTGGTGGTACCGTCACCGGCGACCTCATTGGTCTTGGAAGCAACATCTTGGAGAAGCTTGGCACCGAGGTTCTCGAACTTGTCCTTGAGGCTGACAGCGCGGGCAACGGTCACACCATCTATAATAGGTTAGTTGGAAGCTTAGAAATGATCTATGAGGCTTCTACGAACCCTTGGTGATCTTGGGAGAACCGAAGCTGGACTCAATGAGGACATTTCGGCCCTTAGGACCGAGGGTGGTAGCAACAGCCTTAGCGAGGGTATCGACACCAGCGAGAAGAGCAGCACGGCCCTCAACACCGAACTTGAGCTCCTATAGAATGAATTAGTATACAATTCCAATTTTGTGACGTCGTAGTATCATCATACCTTGTGAGCAAATCGGACCTGCTGGCTGAGGCTACCAGCTCGGTACTTGGTGGCCGCTGAGGAGAGGACGGAAGCCCGAGCCCGGGTGCTCAATGCGCGCTGCATGATTGTGGAATTAGGAGGGGGTATATGGGTAGAATTACAAGAAAAGGAGAAAATAGAAACGCTCGTGAGGAATTCGACCTTGGGATGTAGGACGGACGAGTCAGAATCAGAGTCAGAGGAGGAGAGGTTTAGAGTGAGGGAGACAAAAGGTTGATATGATGGCGACCGAGAAGCTCTCAAAAAAATGGAATCGTCCCCGTCGCTCGGAGTGTCGGTCTCGGCAAAACCCAGCTGCGAGACTAGCCCTAATACGTACTAGCGCCACTGGCCATCGATTTCTACACCTTTCCAACGACATCTGCGAGACTCGCTGCTAAATGCCTGGAAGGCCTGAAGACGGGGCATTTGAAGGCCTGGAACTCCTATTACCGGCGCCATAGCCGAGGACGGCATACAGAACTGGGTTTTGACGGGTCACGAGCGGCTTTCGATCTCCAGACCGAGACTCTCAACGCTTGCTCCACGGTGAACGACTCCACTGCCCGATGTTGCATGACAAATGGCCCATCTGGGGTTCGCTCGTTTTCCATGGGGCTCAACGGTGTAAGCTGTCTGGACAGATCAAGTGAAGATACTGAGTACTGTGTTGATGAGGTTTGTTTCAATTTGTTTCCTACTGACAGGACAACTGCCACTGAATTGTTCAATTTTTTGAAGTTTGTAATAGTACTCGACGTGGTCACACATCTAACTCTATAACGTCTTCCAATTGTTCAGTCTGAATCTGCTCGAGTTGGTTGGGAAGATCGGGTTGACTATCCCAGGCTAGAACTCCAAGGCCAAAGACACCAAAAGGCAGCAGCTCGATGCTTTCAAATTGAGGATATTGGGACTGACATGGGCAGTGAAGCGTTGAAGTAAGAACAGCCGTGATGATACTAGCAAGTGTCACATGAGTCATCTATCACATTGGATATGCCATCTCAAGTCACAAATAACCGAGTCTTGGTCAAGATTAATCAAAACGTGAAATCAATTGCAGTTCTGTTCGAGTACAGTCAACTCAATGAGCAAGACAAGCGTCAATCAGACCTTGTGACTATATACACAAAGCTTATCAACTGTGTTCCATCCCCAAGACGGTGAGGTTTGCTACTACTCTGTTGCTCATTCCTCCAATCAATCACGAAGAGATGCGCTGGCGCTTGAACTTACGCACCATACGGTAGAGTGAAGATCGCTCACTTCGTTCGACCACATCGGAACCGACAGCGACAGCCTTCTTTTCCTGAGCCTTTTCAACCTGGGCAGTGGCGGGGTTAGCATCCTGCTCTGGCTTCGTGGCAGCCATTTGCTGGATTTGAAGAGCTTGTTCAAGAATCTCGCGAGCTTGATTCTGGGATGCCTCCTCAACAGCGCAGCGAATGGCCTCGGGGATTTGCTTCGACAAATTGGCAACAAGCTGGTTGGCGGAAGCGAGGTTCTGGGCAGTTGCCTGTGTGTTGTAGATATGAGGCTCGACAAGGTCGTTCAAGTGAGTGACCGAAGCATTCATGACTCTGTTTTGCTGCTCAAGGGCGTCGGTCTGTTTCTTGAAGAAACGGCTTTGTTCCCGAAGGCTAGCCTTGTGATCCAGAAACATACTGTGCTGCTGCAAGAAGAGGTCATTCTGTTGGTCGGCATGTAGCTGGAAAAGACCGTTCTGCTGCTGAGTCTGGCGCTGGAAGATGTCGTTCTGCTGTTGCAGAAGGGCAGTCTGCTGTTGGAAGACTTCGCTTTGTTTCTTGAGGTTAGAAACGTTCATGCGGAGGGGTCCAGTGGCATCGGAGATACCCTGCTCAATAGTATGTTCGACCATAGAGCACATGTCATCATGAACGTCGATGAAGTCTTGCTGAGTGGGGTTGGTGACTTCCCGACGCTGAAGCATGGAGTTGTTAGCGTTGTAGTAGCGCTGCTCAGCTTCCACGGCTTGAAGGTAGTGGTCGACACGGCGAGCGACTTCTTGATCAATCTCGCGTTTGAGAGTTGCCTGACGGACTTGGATGCCGAGTGCAACCTGTTCGCGGAAGTGGATGTATGACTGAGGAGCAGGAGCAAGGAGGTTACCGCGAAGGCGTCGAAGATAGATGAGCGAGTTGAAGTCCTCGGCAACGGCATTGGCATCGAGAGTAGGCTCGTTGGTAGCAGGGAATTCTCCATTGCGTCTGGCTTCAGCAACTTCGAGGGACATCATCTGGAGCTGACCAAAGCTGTAGACCTGGCCGTTACGCATGGTAAACGTAGAGGTAGAGTTCCAGTTGCTGTAAGGGTATCTGGGAGTCTCGGGTCGGGGGAGGAAAGCCTCGATGGGCGACTCGGGGGGAGTGCTGTCCATGCTTGAGATGCTACGCTTGGTGGAAGTACCACGCTCAACGGAGCTCCTGGTCTCAGCTGTGGTACCGCTCTCACTGGGAACAGTCTTGCGATTGAAAACCATCTTCTCAAGGTTGGCGACGACAGGAGACATGGGCTCATAATCAGGCATTGCCATCTTAGCATCAAACTCAGAATCACTGTCCTCAAAGGTGAAGGAGGGCGGAGTACGAGCCGGGGTAGGAGCCAACATGATGAAAAGTTGTTGAGTGACAGCGAAGCTCAAAAGATGAAGCAGAAGTGTTGCGTGCTTTGGTACAAGCAAAGATGGAGATGAGCGTGCCCTAAGAGAATGAGCTTGAGGTAGCAGAGGAGGAGCACTCTACTTACGGAAGGAGAGTCAACGCTCACTTTATATCAGAGTGTCTTCCAAGAAGAATCAGAAAGGAACGAAGCTTGCAATAGAGTTCACTGTTGCAAAGATAACGAGTGTTGGAGGAAGAAATGAGAACCAACAGTAAGTGTGGGAGAGGGCAGAGAAGAGATATGATCCCCTCCACGAGAGTAGAGGAGAACCTGCGGGTTCACATTCATCAATTGATGATATCTATCACAATAGGAAATTCTGGCAGAATTTCTATTGTTCAATTGATGCTCAAGTGTGACAATAGGAGGTGCATTCATGGAGTGGGGCTTGAAGCCATCACTGGCAGTGCCCGGCAGACGGCGGGAAATGCAATGTCGGGCTTCCATGACTAGTTTCAAGGACACAGGGAGCTTAACTGAATCTGGTGTTCGAGTGCATGTTATTGCCGCTGAGCGTGCCCGATATCTGATGTTTCCGGCTTGACAGCTGAGGCTGATAGTCAGATATGGATGGGATGGACACTCGTCCATTCCGAATTCCTCAAGAGGCATTACAAGCTCAATTCGCTGTTAATAGACGAGTATAAAGTACCGAGTGTGTTCATGTGAATTTAAAAGCACAGATTCATTTCTTTCGTTGATACTTGCATCTCTTGAGACTATCCTTGATCCCTGATCCATGATACTGATACCCCAACTCTGCGCATACGCCGTCACATCCTAATCAGATATCTAGCTGTCCACGAGATCGGCAGGACAAAAGTCATGATGGTGTTACTGTTCCAGCTGTTTCCCTCGCCATGCTTTTGGTCGTTGGTTGGATTTAGCCTTAAGAACCACCATCAGAAGGGGGCGCATCTATCGTAAAAGTTAGTAGATGGTCGTGACCAAGACATCAAGGTTATATACCAGAGAGCGAGCCAGCAGAATCAGCCGAGTCCTTTTCCTCTTCCTTCTTGACCTTGCCCTTGCTAGTAGGGGTCTTTGGTTTCACGTCTTCATCGTCGTCAGACTCCTCCTTCTTAGCCTTGCGAGGAGTAGCTCGCTTCTTGACACTTCCGGCGCCCTCGGCCTTGGCCTTGCGCTTAGGAGTTGAAGGGACAGAATCAGTTCCATTGCCGTTGACGAGGGCGCCAGGACGGCTGATGCCGTGAGCCTTGAGCATGCGCTCGTATCGCTTCTGGCTGTTGGGTCGTGGGTTAGTGTTGATGGCGGAGAAGAGGGAGGCTAACTTACGCAGCGGCCTTGGATACGATGCTGAGCTCATCGGCAACAGCCTGGAAGTCAGGCTTGGTTTGTTAGCAGTGCAAAATGAGACAAAAGAGGTATCTGAACTTACTCGACCGTTGCTGGTGTGTCCGATGCAGGACACAAGGAACTTGACCTGATCCGCGGGTTCTTGCTTGGACATGGTGGCGGTTGTTTAGGCTATGAGAGTGAGCGATGAGAACGATACGAATTGAGGTGAAAGAAGGCAAGATAAAGTAGAGATTAAAGTTTCGTAAACTTACAGTGTTTGAGGTTGATGTGGTCGTCAAGTATTGTGGTGGGAGTGAGTGTGATGATGATCAAGCATAAAGTTGAGGTGGTGAAAGGTTGAAAGAGTTTTATGGGAGAGAAAAGACAAAACGAACCTATGTTTGCTTGGGGTAAACACAGCAAGCGGAAAAGCAAATAGGGACTAGAGGGCAAATGTGGGAGCAGGCAACACTTAATTCGGGCAAATATCAACATCAGACGAAGCGGCACTAACCAAACAGCACGAGCAATGCTGTTTGCGCATTAACCAGGCCACTAAGCCCGCGTAACAGACAACTTATACAGACAATTCATTTATGGATAGCTGAGTTGCTCCCGCTTGACAGTGTCGCCAGCTGCCAGCTTAATTCCTGGGCACAAACACACTCGAGGACGCAATACCTCGTGTAGACATTGCTGCAGACTTCATCTGACATGGTTGGTGTACTCAGGTCTCTTTGGACTACTTATCCTATGGATACCGAAGTATTATAGATCTCGTGAAAAATAGCAATGTGGTCAACGGCATGAAGGTCGCCGATTCAGGGGTAAGCCAACCTGGCATCTCAGAGGGCAAACCCGAGCCACCGATAATATTGCTCACAAATATAGACGAAAAAGAAACAGCACCCTAAGTCGAGCTGCCATGCCAATTATGGCCTGCGAAGATTCCATCCCAGCTTTTGACGCTGCAGTGCCACTCCACCTCTCGTCCACTCTTCCACCTGCCCAAGAAGGGTGGAGAGTGGAGGAGATGCAACTCACCCTTCTACAGATTCTGATCAAATCTTGCAATCACATTTAAGTTCGATTTTAATTGGATGTGTCTCAATGTCTCAATTTAATTTCAGTGATACCTCCAGATATTGACTAGCCAGATCCTTTCAGTGTTACTACTAGACTTGATATGAGGTCCTCATGAATCTTCCAAGCGTAGTCGACAATACTGTGACCTCACTTCCATCAAGGCTTTCGTTAGTTGGTGTCATCATCCTCAACCTCAGCCTTGATCTCCTTCTTTTCCTCGGACTGAGCCTCCTCCTTAACATCGTCGTCATCCTCATCGACCTTCTTGACAGACTTTTTCTTGTAGGGGCCTCGAACAGTGTTGGTCTTCTTGGACTTCCCGACAGCAGCAGGAGACTTGCGGGGACTGGCAGTAGAAGCGGAGGGCTTGCGAGGACTGGGGCCGGAACCAGCACCATCACTGCGCCAGCCGTGACGGACAGACATCTGACGGAAGCGTTCTTTCGCGCACTTGGCGTCCTTCAGACTGACGGTGTTGGCGACGGCATCCCAGTCGGCGTCGGGCTTTTGAGTCATGTTGTCGAAAATGGCCTTGATGAATCGAAGTTCACCATCAGTGAGGCCGATAGGGGAGCCATCTTGGTCGGCACTCTTCTTGGGAGGCATGATGATTGATCTGGGGTGTGGTTAGAGGTGATCATGAAGATATGATATAGAGAAAAAGACCTACTGGCAATGATGAGTGTTTGGAAGATGTTGTTTGTGTAGTGTGTCAAGCTTGTCTGACAATGGAAGTTGTTTGCTGTGTGTTGACAGAAGAGAGTTGTGAAGAAGGAAAGTTTGGGAGGCAGATGGAAGGGGGGGAGGGGGTTTAAAGATGGGTGGCTGCGGTGAAAGTGCCTGAGCTTTACGCTGAGCTTTGGGCCAGCTTAGGGGGACCATATTGAGGACAATAGGAGAGATATGAGGGATCGCGGTGAATTAGGTGCGTGAAATGACCAAGATAACAGCTTGCAGTGTCAGGGCATATGCAGCGAGAGCAGGCAGCGAGAAGGGCCGAAGTCTAGAGCTCAAACGCTGCGCACAATTGAGGATGGAACAATCCTGGAGCCCAGTGAGTGTACCAAGTCATTATAGCTCGCAACTTCATCTCAAGCACTGAATGATGTCTCCATTTTAGCTTGAGACCTCGGGCCTGACACTCCTCAACTGCCGTTCATTTTGTGAGGATATATGACTACAACGTGTTCAAAGCGAATCACCAACGTTTGGAATATATGTGAGATGTGCTAGAACTTTTGACTTAATTCTGTTGCCTTCATACTTGGCTCTGTGGTATCGTGTTGCTGTAGCTCAGGTCCTCAGATCGTATATCCACTCTGATCAACCCAACTCAGACTTTGAACAACCATAACAGATCGTAGTCTCGATCTGAAAAGTCTGGAATAATCACTCAAATGTGGGTCTACTGCTGAAAGAAAGGGAAGTTGGCAGGATCGATGTCATCGTCTCCGAAATCCTCCTTCTCTGGAGTCTTCTCCATCTCGCGATCCTCGGTTTTGATTCCGGCCTTCATCAGCTCGTCCTCATCTTCATCGTGAAGGAGAACCGTGTCAGCTTCTTTCTTGACCTTCCCTTTGCTCTTGGCGCTACGGGCAGTCTTGGCGACTCGAGCGCCAGCGGTCTTCTTGGGAGTCACTGGACCGCGGCTGGGAGCAGTAGTCTCGGTAGAGATGCCGAGCTTGCGTTTGACCTGGCCGAAGCGGACCTGAAGTTTTTGGGTCAGTATACGAATAAAGATGATAGAGTTTGTCATGAGGTGATATGCGACGGCACGGGCAAAGGAGGAACATAGCAACTCACCTTGGCGACATCGGCATTTTTGAATCCAGCCTCGGTGGCGACAGCGTTCCAGTCAACGTCAGCCTTGTTTCGAGTGTGCTTGACAATGCTGAAGAACAGCATGGCTTCGGCGGCAGTGGGCTCTTTCTTATTGCTGTCGGCCATGGTAGCGGTGTGCTGTAGATAGCATTAGTTTGGATAATCTTCACACTCAAGTAAGTGGCAAGTATTTCTTACCGTTGTTTTGAAGTAGTGAAAAGGGATGTATTGTGGTTGTTGTATGGTGGGAAATGGATGAATTGAAGAGTAAGGTTGGTGTGGAGGAGATGAATCTATGCGCTAAGGAGTGAAAGGAGTTTATGCCTAGATCTTAAGAAAGAAGAAGTTAGAAATTTAGAGAAGTTTAGGAGCTTTAATAAATATGCTATAAGTGTTTGACTATAAGGGATAAGTTGAAAGAGCTAGTGGGTTCACCAAACAACTGCAGCGCACTTTTATGGCGAGAACTTGTTTACAAGACTGAAGCCTATAGGTCTCTATTCACCGTAGTTGTGCAGTTGGCGAGGTTTTCTTGTATTTGGCACTGCTTCTGAGGAGCTATGCCACTGCCAAGTGTCAGCCAGACTAACCAGCTTCTGCCAAATCAGAACGTCAATATTATCACAACTGTAGGAAGCTAGTATGGTCGATACAACATGAGTATGAGTAGATGCTGTGTATAAACAGGTATAGATAGATGAATCTCTCAATTAGACTGCAAATAGAAGGGCTAGTGTACAGCTCCCAGAGCAACGCATGAGTTCCAGTAAAGCAGACTTCCAGTAACTAGCATCCTTTTCATCCATAATTTGATATCGATCCTGGTAGAAACTATGATAGTTGTCCTTAGCAGATCAAAGTTGGAACGTGTACAAAGCAATACCCTGACAGTAGGAAATGTGGAAAGCAACCATATCGAAGGAACCATTGTCATTAATTCATAAAGCAAACGCAGTCTAGCAAATCACCAATTTTATACAAAGGGAACCCTCTATCCGTGGGGTTTCTTTCTTTTCCGGGTGGGTATCAAAAGGAAGTGTCGTTGAAGTGGCTAGGCCATTCAGGGCCGCAATCCGGCACGGGAGGAGAGCCGTTAAGATCGAGGGCAGCTGGGCTCTGAGCATCGCCGATAACAGAATTGTAAGATGTCATCTCATAAGCGGCGTCAAACGTATGAAAATGGGACTGCCCCATGGCCATTATGTCATGGACTGCTGGTTGGGCCATGAAGTCAGGGGGGCAGTCCATCGAAGGACCAAAGCCATTTCGCTGTCTGGTATCTTCGAGCGACGCAGGATTGATGGAAAGGCCTTGTGGCATATCATCACTGCAAGGGGTGAGGAATCGAGAACTGCAACCAAAGTCGTCTCGGTTGTCGTTGAGGAAAGGGGATGAAGTAGAGGCGGGAGAGAACTGTGCCATGTATGCATGTTGGTTCTGTTCTTGCTTGATGATAGGGCTCTGGTGAACTTGAGCATACGATGAGAGGCTCGCCCCTGACTCGGAATTACTGATGCTGTCCTTCTTGGGTTGTTGCGTCTTCCTTGCCTTCGTCACCCGAGACTTGTCTGTAGGGCCTGCAGAACGTGTTCTCTTCTGTGGTTGGGTGCCAAGGACTGTGGTTTTGAAACGAGCGAAGCGCATCCTTGCAGCATGTCCATTTGTGATGGGTTCAATGAGAACAGGGTCTGAGGCGACTTGATTCCAGTCAATCTGGGCTTGGCGTTAGGAAGAGGATCAGAACAACATTCATGGTCGGATCAACTCACGTCTTTAAGGTTCTTCTGGTTTAAAATGGCTAGAAGGAACCGAGCCATGGCGTTCTCGCTGTTGGGAGCCATTGTGAATAGAATTGATTGGTGTTGAGAGGAGAGGAGGAGAGAAGGAGAGGAGGTGGCGTGTGGCGGCGGGGATAAGGCTGTAGAAGGAGGCAGAATGAGGAGAAGGTGGAAGGATATATAAATTAGAACATGAAGTGGAAAAGTTAGGCAGCTTTGGCTGATGGATGCCTCAGGTGAGCGTGAATATGCTTTTTCGGGATGGGAATATTGACCAAAAACAAGGTTGTGCGTTTTCAGATCAAGAGTTGATTCGACAGAGTCACTATTATCGTGAAACCTAATACCGTGAATTCGATAAGAGGATTCGGCGAGGCTGAGGCACACTCAGATATGGATCGAGTGGACGAAAGGAGTTGTTGATGAGTGGATGATAGACGATGTCGCAGAAGTTGAGGGTTTTCTGGCCAACGAGATGGATGAGGCGGAAAGGGAACAAGCCAAGATAGCGGTCTCAGCGGGAAACCCGTCGTTGAAGAGGAGGGTCAGCTGAGCGAAAAGTCTTCTACAAGTGCATATGTAGTGTCTGAATTGCCTTATAAGTAGTTCAATGTCCTGAGGAAGAATGTGAATGGCACGGGGCAGGTGAGGCAGAAAGAGGCAAGCGGAGGAGGGAAGAGATGGAAAGAGAGGCAGCAAGAAGGAGAAAGGGAAGGGATCCGTATTATATGTAGGTATTTATAAGTCGTCTGGGCTGTCTGCTAAGATCCAACCTAAATGTGATGCCACACACACCAACTTACATCCTATACATACACCTACACACCTCCTGTCCCGTCTCTGTGGGGGGACTAAAACCAGGCAGATACAGGGGGTCAAGCATCCCGTACAGGCACAGCATGGATCGTGTAATGTACCGTAATGCGCAGCGCAAGCCATTAAGAGAAAATGTCTGAGAATGCTATGATCCATGATGCAGACGATGCTCCATAGTTGCCTGTTCCTCCTGTCGGATCAAGACGATCCTTCCCGTTGATGGAAATTGGGGCGCGACGAGGGGCTGCGGTCTGCGCGAACACCGCGTAAAGTGGTTGCTGACCCCCCGCTAAGCCCACTAAATTTGAGTCTAAAACGGCCGGGCCCCAGCGTCCCAGCGCCCCTGTCTCCAGGGCAGGGTGTGCTGCAACCACTACAGTCCAGCGGTGCCGCAGGTCCCATGAAAGAATTGCCTCCAGATGAGAGCTCAAAAAAGACAGGATTGATCAATTGAGACAATGATATATTCACTCTTGACTTGAGTTCATTTGAGACTGGAATGTGTAAGTTTAAGAGGTTTTACTCAAAACCAGTTTAGCTGATCTTCCCCTCTTTCTTAACTTTACTGACTCTCGTAAGCTGAGATAGCCAACGGCAATTGACAAAAGACAAGTTTTATAAATCGACACATAAGGGCAAGCTAAAGCATATCCGAACAGGGGTTACAAGCCTAAAAATCAGTGAAACCACAAAGTGTGACTCATTGCGCGGGTCACCGACGAATGGTTAATGGCACATTGGGCATACGACATGCAACAACGCAGGGGGAAAACCGTAGTAGACCTGGTTGGGCGACTTGGCGATCCATGGCGATAGATGTCCTGTTCAGATGGCCTCGTGGCAGTTATACAGGAAAAGATTCAATTGGTTAGGGGGATGAACTGAGCTTGAGCTCCATGCTTGTGGTGTGCAGCAACTCAAACTGGAGGCATGTTTAAGCAGACTACTTGTGATGAGGCAAGAGACATCAGAAAGAGCAAGGATCGGGGCCTCGAGGCTCAAGAATGAAAGAATGAAAGAAATTGCGGCATGCAGCCGATCCGCCGAGGTTTGCTTTGCCTGTTTGCCTCTTGACGCTCAGCTGAGGGGTGTAGCCTAGAAAAAAGTTGATGGTCGCAATCCGTCATGACGATGATGAAAAGCAGCAATTCAGCAACCACGAGACCTTTGGAAGTCGGGAAAATTCTTGAGTATATGATACATAGTTGAAACATTCATATTTAATGATAATGAAAGCTTTCATGGTCGTGTATAGCCCTCGAATCAATGCCTGGTCATTATGGAGGGCATGAGATGAAGTGGGTGGGAGACGCGACGGGCGCGCAGCTGGTGGGACCTTGCTCAGACTCATCAGGACAGGAAATGGGAACGAAAGCACGTGAGGGGACCTCGTAAAGTGTCTCCACTTCAAGTCATCTTTTCTTGTCCCCCTGGATTCCCTTGCTTCACTTTGTGGCGCAGATTGGCGGGGCTGCCACTCCGTTACCAGAGGATTTAACGTTGAACTTGACTAGTCCTCCTTTGGTAACCGTTTGTTTACGTTGGCTTTATTGGGTTGTCAATGTGATTTGCTGTCCTTCTTCTGTTGACTTGTTGAATTATTGGATCCTTTGAATGATATGATGCTATCACCGATCATGAAACATTCTTCAAAATGCATACTTTTGTTTGTCATTCTCAGTCTCGCATGCTGATTCAATTTGCTATTTTGATTGGTATAAAACTGAGGTACATCGAAACAACGAACAAGTCATGATGCTATCTGCCAAGAGAAAGGATTATTGTCAAAGACACCTTCTGGACTCGGCATCGTACAAATCTAACCGAGCAGTCGAAAAAGTAAACACACTTCTAGAAAAAGCAAGGCTCTCGAGTTTACCATCCAATGATTCTCGATAAGCGCTCAACGCGGAGATATCATTCATCCGGATCCGAAAGCTGCCTGCCTTTGTTCCATTCCCCATGCCAAGAAGAAGCTTGGACCATCATATCCCCCCAACCTCGCGCCTCAGCGGGCTCCCCTTCCCTTAGCAATTTCTACCTACACTATCAATTTTCCCATTGATCCAGCCGTTGCCTTAACAGCGTCTAACCATCTACAGTCGCGTTGCCGCCTTGTAACCCATCAGTCTTTGTCACGTCGACAATTGCTCTGTTTTTGTTTTATTCAGAATGAATAGTAAAAATTGGAATGACAGAGCTGACAAAGACTTGTTCTTTACTATTCTCTCTGTCAAGAACATTGGCGTCATAAGCGGCTCAGAATGGACTACTATTGGTAACCACATGAGAAGTCTGGGCTATGGCTTCACCAATGAAGGCTGCCGGTGAGTACTTATACCTTGACACTGTCATGCTTTTCTATTCTCAATGGCTTTGCGATTCCTCACAACTTTATCACCATTTGCTTATCACGATATGCAATTCGTGCTGGTGGTCGTTACGCGTCAAGTTGGCTTATACCTGAGTCGTCCACGACGTCCACTTATAATCACACAACACATATTTGACTCACTCCATATACACAGATAGCCCTGCCAAACCCGATCCGACTTTTTAAATAACACAGCACTAACATGTATCTAGACAACACTTTCAAGGGCTCCGTAGAGCTCAGAATAAGGCAGAGACAGCTGGACCTAATGGCGATATTGTACGCAGGAATGATCCGACAATGAATCCAATCACCCGTCGTCCTGGCCCTGGAAGAGGTCGGCCCAGGAAACAACCTCCTGTTCCTGTTCCTGGAGCTCATGGAGAAATCCCCTCCGATCAGCCCATGCCGGTTGGTATCGTTCCCGGACCCAACCCCGTACCTCCTTACCCCCATCCTCATTCCCAGGCTGCCCCAGCTTATGGTGTTCCTCCTGGCAATCATCAAGCTGGTGCTCATCTGCCAGCTCAAGCTGCTGCACAGCCTGGCAACATCTCTCCCGCGACTCCTACCCAACAAGTTCCTCCTCCCAGCAATACACCTCATGCCCAAGGCCCGATAACTTACCCAAGTCCCCCTCGTGCCCCTGACACTCCTCAGACGCCTGCTCATCTTCATCCTCTTCAGCATGGACAATCCGTTCAACCTGGCCAACAGTCTCAAACCGAGCAGCAACCTCAGCCTGGTCATCAGCTCCAGCCAGATTTTCAACCTCAACCAGATCAACAGGCCGAACCCGAACAGGCTTCCCAGCCAACAGCACAGCCCCAGCCTGAGCAGGAAAACTCAACTGAATACCAATCTCAGGATGTTTCACAGGAAGCCCGTCGGGAGGCTCGTGAAGCGACTGATGCAAGTGCGGTGTCTCAGCATGCGCCAGTTGAGCAGAACCACGACCCTCAAGTTGCTTTAACCTCGGAGCAGCTGCAGCATGCTAACGAGGATATCGATGCTGATGGCGACGCTGATGCTGACGCCGAAGGTGATGCTGACGCCGAAGCGGATATCGATAATGATGAGCCGGCCGCTAAACGGCCACGGTTAAGTTCGCCTGAACCCCCTAAGGATACCGATATGGATGATGAAGCTGTCTTGGCCTTGGCGGCCCATAATGGGTCAACAGATTTTGCTTCCGAGTAAGTATTAATAACTGTCCATAACGATCTGCTAACTAATTCCTTTCAGTTTTGCTACTTATGGAGAGGCATAATGGCCAACTTGGCTTGTAGAACAACATTGATACCACGGGCACGGGCGTTAAAGACTAGGAGTTTCTTATATGACCTTTGTATTTGCAAGAGATGGGATAGAAATGAGTAAGTGAGGACTGGTTTTTTGCAGGTTATGCCAGAACATTCTGAGTGTGTGTGTAATATAAAGGGAAAAGAGCTGGGACTTGGTTAACAGGAGCTAGAGCTGGAGTCTCTTAGTTGGTAGTGTATATCATCACTCTTGGTTGTGTCGAAAATTTATTCGTAGATAGGTCAATAACAATACCAAACTTGTAGAGTGTTTCTATTGTCACTGATCTGCAGGGCGAGGCAGTGCCTGAGATACAAATTTCGAGTCGTTGCAGCGGTGCTCATACTAGAATAACGACGCCCGATATTTCCAGAATGCCTCTGTGCTCTAGGCTCCATTGTTCTCCTGTGGGAATATAAATTCATCTCGCGATCGGCTTTACCCAGCTTTCTTCTCTTCCCACCACCATCATCCTCGACATCTGATCTTCCTCCTCATCTTCAACCTCGATTCTACCGAATCAATCAACGTCAAACAATCTTCATCATGCCTGGAAAAACTAGCGACTGGGACAACGCCGACTTCCTCTTGGATCTCGTCGTTGGTCTCTACACTGGCGCCCAAGTCAACGGGAGCTTGACTCCTCCCGTCAAGCAGTCTATCGAAGAGTATATCAAGGGGCGCGGATATGCCACCTCTTTTGATGCTGTGCGGTAGGTGTCTACATTTCTTAGCTCTTCCATTTGCCTTTCTGCTTTAATTTGATCGTTGAGTTATCTTGTTGTTGTGCTGCGCTCGTGCATCCAGCAGAGTGATTCACTCCGAGGTTATGCAACGCTATTCACGGTTTTGTGCAAACCTGGCTTCATTCTTCACTCCTCTATCCTAAGCCTTAGGGCCTAGTGAGTACAAGTATCCTCACAGAGGAGATCATACTCTGTTGCTTGATCTTCTCAACTTCTCAACAACACCGAGCAAGCTACCTTCTCCCTTATCAACAGCCTCAAAATCTCCTTTCTCTATCCTTTCCTTATCGCCGTCGCCGTCGCCATGGCCAAGCGCCAAGTCATGCAGTGGGATGCCAACGTCCACGAAGATATCCTTATCTGTCTATTTCAACACATCAAGCCAAGTGCTGAGGACTGGAGCAACGTCATGGGTGATCTTCAGCAAAAGGGCTACACTTTCACTGAGGGCGCTCTTCGGTACGATTTCTGACTCGTGGCCTCTGTTTTCCGTTGCCTAGTGGTCACTGTTGTTTTTGCTTCTGTTGTTTTCTCATCCCCCGCTTGCATTCATCTCATCTTCTCCCCCTCTCTTCTACCCTCTTCATCCCTCCTTCACATTTCTCCTGCAACTGTTCATCCTACTTCTCACTTCCCACATCTTACACATCTCTCTCTCTCAATCTCTTCTCATCCCTTCCTGTCTCATCATTCAACGCCTGGCATCAATACTTCTGTATCCAAGCAAACAAACATATATAACCCTTCCCTCAAGTTATCCATCATCACCGTCATGGCTCCCCGTGCTGCTGGTGCTGGTAAGCCTACTCGAGGCTGGGATGCCGCATCGCATGAGGATCTGCTCCTCGCTCTTCTCGAGGAGATCAAGCCGAACAAGGCTGACCTTGCCAACGTCGCCGAGAAGATGCGCAACAAGGGCTACTCCTACTCCTACGACGCGATCAAGTACTTCTCTTTCTGTCTCTTGCGCATAGTCTCAACAAGTCAGCAGCTAACATCTTTGTCTTTATAGCCAGCACGTCCAAAAGCTGCGCAAGAACCGCGACACGTCCGCCATCCAGAACTCTGGTGGCTCCGAAGCAGGCACTCCTCGCAAGCGCGCTTCTGGCACCAAGACTCCTGCTAAGCGTACCCCTAAGCGCAAGGCCACCAAGTCGGCTTCCATTGTCGACGAGGATGAGGACCTTGAGGATGAGAAGATGCAGCTCAAGATGGAGACGGACGACATGGATGAGGAACTCATGTCCCCCAAGGGCGCAAAGCGCACCAAGTACGTTCTAATGCTTTCCATTTATCTTCCACGTTCCTTACTAATTGTCTCATAGGTCCGAGCCTGAGGACGAGGTCACCGTTGGTGAGGTCTAATTCCGAATTTCTTCTACCTTGTGAGTTGGTATCTAAATATTGTCACATACGTTCTCAGCTAATGTACCAACAGGCTGGATTCCACCACCAAAGGGGCCGGAAGCTGAATCTTCGACGGCTGATGAACATTGGAGTGGTGGATCAACAGGTTTATGTCTATCGCAGAGAAATAGGGGTAAAACTAGGCTAGGATGATTTCCATGTGCCTTGGATGTTACGATGACAAATTTGCCATTTGAGGGCAATACTACGAGCATGTCTCTGCGATGAATTGAAAGATACCACCCGTCATTTCCTGTGCAGTCTGTTGAAATATCGTGAAGTGTAGATGAACATTTTCTGAGCATTGCCTACACATCTACCAAGGTCTCCGCTTGTTATTCACTGAAAATTCTCCGAGTATTGGCCGAGTATATACGGAATATTCACCAAGTGTTCCTAATTAATGCCTGCTGAGTACTCTCCTTGTTTGTTTCCGATTCTCATGACCATTGCCATGAGATGCTTGAACTTGAACTCCACTGTAAATACGATATTTATAGATACTTAAGTTACTAAATCCCCCGGATGTAGCAGTATCGGGATGATCTTTACTGCGTGACTGTGTTGGCGTCTTCGGTCATTCAGTTGCTAGGCAGAGGAATCAAGCGTTTCCACCAGTTGCACGGCCACACGCAACCTACATCCCCTAAGATATCTCTCTTTTCCTTTCACTGCGCCTTTTCTGCCGTCCAAGTTTTCTACGTTCACTCTTTAGGATCTCCCTTCTTCTTCCATCTACTCCTCTTCCATCTTTCCCCTTCACACTTTTCATCCACTCCCCTTTTCTTCCATATCTCACATCTCCGTCACTCAACCCCAAAACATTCTCTCACCTATCACGATGCCTCCTTCTGAGAAGAAGTGGGATGCCAACGCCGAGCGTGACCTCTGCGTCGCAATAATCATGGGTGCTCAGGATGGTGAGCGCATGCGCTTCAACTGGCCCAAGGTCCATGCCTCGATGGCAACTCTTGGGTATTCCTTTACTAAGGATGCAATCTCGTAAGTATCACTCTACTTATTCTGATTATTATCATACTGTCTACCCTTCAAGTCCTTGAACCCTCAACCCATGGCCATATCCATCACGTCCAGATACTTACCAGTAACAGTCAGCATTTCAGCAAGTCCATCATGCGCGACTTCAAGGGTCGACATGGTGATTCTTCTACCGTTACCCCTACTTCTACACCCAAGAAGACTGCCACTCGCCGCAAGCGAGCTACGCCTGCTAAGAAGAAGAACGAAATCCTGGACGAGGAAGATGATGACGCAGAGACCATGGTCGAGTCTCCTGTCCCCAAGAAGATGAAGCACAAGAACGAGGACGAAGACGAGGATCTCAAGACATCGGTCAATGTCCATGGCAAGCATGACGGCAGGTATGTTCTATTGGTACCGCATATCCTAATACGAATACTGATCTACCCATAGCCTTTCTGCTGCTGAGAAGGAAGCCAAGTTTGAGAACTGGCTTGCCAACGGTGACAGTGCTTAGGGATTGTTGCAGCTCTATCGTGAACAGACAAGTATCTGAATGGTTGATAATATCGAGGCTTCAGATGCTATTGCTAGGGGGGCGACAAAATAAGGGGAGATTTATAGGTCTGGAAGACTGGATTGATAGCCCTCGCAACTGAAGTTCACTTTGGTTCCCTATTGCGCATTTTAGTTTTGCACAGTTGATTCCTATGTGATACGCCAGGCATCTTCTTTTTCTAGTAAAGGCTTCTCACGAAACGTTCCTCGTCGCATCTTTCTTCTTCTTCGAGCGAAGCTCACTGGTTATGTCGTTCGTAGTTTCTTCTTTCTCAAGTTGAATCAAGTTTTCAATCGTTTCCGGTTTGCGTAATGCCAAATTTTTCTGTGTTCACACTTTGAAGACTTTGAGAGTTCGGATATCATGTGTTCACCCGACGCGGAGTCACTTCATGAAGGGTCGCTACCCAAATCCTTGGGCGGCGAAGGGGACTTTATTCAGGTCTAAAGTCTGTCTATCGTCTCTGATTTTCAAGTGTCAAATTGACGCAGTCTCGGGGGGTTCATTGGTTGTGTTCTGATAACGGTGGTCAAATATTGATATGGGTCCATCTGGCTAGGGGCTGGTGATTCGTACGTCGGTATATAACCATAGGATATTCCGCGTGGGTGTTATCATGTCTCTGTATCTTATATGGTATACTTTTAGTTTCTCGCCTTTGAGTGAGTGCCAAAGGATGGAGAGAGCAAAGTAAGTATCTTAGCAAAACAAGAAACAAATGATACGAAGTAGCCGCTCAGCGTAAGTTGAACATCTTGAGGTGCAACTTGATGGCTCTTATCATGACACTATCATCCTGCATGTATTTATTTTTATTCATTCGTGTTGACAGTAGTCACTAATATGGGCATCAAATGGCAGACTACCCAGTATAAGTCGAATCAAGCTCTAAATCACATTCCCTACCACCCAAACGCCGGTCCAAGTTATCGCATTGCCCTTGTTTATCGTGGTCGTCGACCGTCGAGTCTGTTTCCTTCGCTGGTGCCCTTCTTCTCGGGGGCCTTGGTCTTGTCGTCTCCCTCTCCCTTTCTCTTAACCGCACCTCGAAGTGTCTGACCTTGGCCAGCAAAGTGAGGCCTGTTGGCGTTCTCCTTCTCATGTTCCTTATCAGCATCCGTCTTAACTGGCTTGATCTCGTATCCGAAGAATAGCTTGTTAGGTGGCAAACGGAGAGCTGCCGGCGCACCATCGCGCCTCCTAGGCATTCCCGGAATCTCAATCGTAGGAACCGGAGTAGCTGGCTTGGGTGTCGGAGCCTTGCTGCCCTTCTTGGCAAGCTTTTGACCCTCTCCAAGGAAGTTTGTCACATTGCTTGTCACTGATGGAGCAATGGCGCTGTAGTTGATGGCTTGCGCCATGGTTCCTTGGTTGTGTAGCAGACCTCCAGCAGGGACACCACCCCGTGTGCTTCTTGGGGTGCTTGTTCCACTCTTGCGCTCAGGTTCGACGTAGCCCACTGGGGGCGCGAATTCTACTGACACATCGGTCTCGATCATACTGACTCCCATCTTGTCCGTCTCGGGCTTAACATCGAGAACGGCCACGTCATAGACTTCATCGTTGTAGGCGAAATTGAAGACATCGCCCTTGGTCAGGGTGGCAAAGTTGCGGAAAGCCTTCTCCAGCACAGCCTTGGGATCACTAATCTCAAGGAAGTTGACAGACTGAGGCTGTAGCTTGACCATCTTGGCCAGCTCCAAGGATGTGGTACGGACCTGGATCATATCACCGACGTCCATGCCAAGAGTTTCCATCATCTAATGACTGTCAGCGACAAGACCTTTCAGTAAGACAGCGTCTCCTCATACCCATTGAGGGATGTATGCTCGGCCTTCCTCCGCAATAAACTCCAGCACGCCTGCATGGGAGTGTCTTCCCTTCTCTCCGTTGATCAACTCCATGAGCAAAGGCCACTGCACATGGAGCTTAGACACCTTGTCGAGAGCGGATGGTGGCAGAATTATCTTGGAACCGTAGTTGAGCTCTGGTCGTTCAGCTCCGGGGGCCATGACTAGGGGGTAGCATCGGTAGTACTCGTCGAATCGTTGCACAATGGGTCGTCGTCCATGGCGGGCCATGTTGTAGAGGTGGTCAGGGTTAGCGGGGTCAAACCCGCCGCCGAAGCCTGAATACTGTATATGTCTTAGCAAACCAAGTTATGAGACGAGGCAGGGAGGCTTACCATGGTGACAATGGTTTATTGGTACGCAGTCGATTTCGAGATATCGTGGGTGCGGGACTCGAAAGATATGGGCGGTCAAGAAGTAAATCAGTTGTCCTGAAGATATGCTATGGTTTCTTTTATTTCTGAGAAGAAACGTGCGCCTTAAGTAGTCAGAGGGAGAATGACGGTGATTCACAGTTTTAAGGTTGAAATGTTTACAGGATGAGCTTCCTCCAATGTTCGTTGAAGTCCGAAACTACAGTTAACGTGGGGCGTGTGGGGGCTACAAAGGCAGCTCTTGATGACGCAGTTTGGTTTGTCAGGCACTAATCTTATAGGTACGTTTTAGCTTAACAAGACACTTATTTTTTGAAAAATTTGAATTCCAAGAAAATTCTGAGAAGTGGTTAATTACATATAATACTGAATTCAGAGCCGGTGTCTTTGTTATTGCTATCATGAGTACTGGCGATTACTTCTGAGACAGGTACTTAACAAGGCACTGAATATCTACCTAAAGTTCAGGTAACTCTCAACTAACATCAGCTCGGCGGAGCTCGTTGCCCCAACCAGAATAGTGAGTTCTGGAACCCCATGCTCAGAAGTTTAAAATATACATATAAGCTCTATCAAGCTTCCTTCATCATCTCACTTTTGCGTTTTCAATTCAAGCGATCATCACTTTCATTACTACCCTGCCAACAGACATATTTTTGGCACTCAAATTCAATCAAAAGTGACCATGGCGTCACGATATTCGGCAGCGCGCCCCAAGCGCGACGGCGAGAACTTTGCGCGTACCCATCATAATGAAGATGGCGGCGATTCTAAAAGGGTCAAGTTTGACGTACGAAACCCCTCCACGCTTGCACCTGACGCTCGCGAAGAAGATGCTATTCTCGATGCCGATGTCATTGGTGTATATGGAGCTACGAAGCGCGGAGCTGTCAACCTAGATGGTTATGATAGTGATTCTGATAACGAGACCTTCAATGCACGTGCCGAGAACCGCAAGCGAGGCAAAGTCGATATTCTTGAGCAGCTCGATAATTACGACGCCACCAATCCTGACCCTACAGCTCCGGGTACTGCGGCCGATGATGACGATGACGACATGTTTGCTGCGGACGATGCCGATGGGGAAAAGGAGGTCCCCGAGGAGGGAGACTTCGATAAGAATGGTCGCAAGAAGGACAGAGTTCGCTTCCTAGATGCGGATCAAATCGCTGGCGTGGATAACACCAGCAGAGACAAGGAGGGCATCCGACTCGACGATGAAAGCAGCGACGACGAGGCAGATGTAGACCTTGCCATACAAGAAGAGGGCATCGATGAAGAAGTTGGGGCTGGAGGCCTCAAGAAGAACGCCCCCAAAGTCGAGGCATTCAACCTAAAGCAAGAAATGGAGGAGGGTCAATTCGATCAAGATGGCAACTACGTTCGCAAAGGTGGCGACCCTGACGCCGTACACGACAACTGGTTAGAAGGTCTCAGTAAGAAGGAGATGAGAAAGGCAGCCGCGGCGCATGAGAAGCGCGAGGCTGAGGCACGAAAGCAGCGCCTAGAGGATGACGAAGTCCTGGTATCGGATTTGCTGAAGACTTTGATACTCAATCTCGAGCGCGCTGAGACGCCACTCGAGGCTCTAGCCCGACTCGGCAAAAAGCAAACAAAGTCTAAAAAGACCCCGAAGTGGAAGCTCAAGAAGATGAACAAGGGTGCTGAAGGCATGGAGGTTGACGGCGGTGAGAACAGTGAGGATGCGGAGCAAAAGAAGGTCAAGGCATCTATTGATGCCATCACAGAAGCTGCAGATAAACTGTTAAGCCGGGATCATGACGAGATTTACGAACAAGAGAGAGAGCTCCTCATCCGAGAATATCGTAAGGAGACAGGAGAGGATTGGGTGGAACCGGAAGCTTCACAAACAAACCAGGATGAGCAGGCGGCGGTGAAGCCGGGAACAATGTGGAAGTTCCGATGGGTAGATGGGCGCGATGGAAACGACAGTCAAGGGCCATATGACGGGGCTACAATGAAAGCGTGGAAGGATGCTGGGTACTTTCCAGAGGGCGCGGTCGAGTTCCGAGAGGTTGAGGAGGGCCGGGACTGGTCTTTACATGTCGATGCTTTTGAGTGAAGGCATTACGACGTGATGGGATGTCAGCCGAGACACAAACTCAAGGTAGTGCGGGCTGAACAGACATCTGGTGTGGTTCGGCTCCCGTCTCTATCGCAAGATGATTGGCGACGAGCAAGTCTCAGCTTAAAAGGGCACCTGCCGGGATCTTTCCCATGTTCCGGAGATGGACATCCGCCGGCTCATGTTCTTGTGTAAGGAGCTCTTGCAACCAGTTATATGTGTACAGGGCCAAGAACAAAATGGGCTGTAAGTGGTCGTTTCAACCCCGACGACATGACGGTGAGTGGATCCCGTTTCACGTCGAAAACTTACAGCCCGCATGGGAGAGAATGCATGACACAGATAGCTTCGGCTTTGTGGCTCCGAATCTGAAGACAACATTGAAAACCAAGTTAGATAATCACATTATACGGTACCTTAGAGGAAGTGTGCGATCATCATGCGGGCCTGACGAGGCTTGGCCGTTGGCTGGGATAGGTTTCATGAAGGTCAATGGTCGAGAATCATGATGGTGCATGATGGTGCCGCGGGAAGATGACGAAAGAAGGAAACTAAGAGCCAAAAAGGTGATCAAATGGTTGGAAAGACTTGGGTAGATGGATATGATGGGGCATAATGTGGCAGGTCGTTCCTGGGGATCCCGAAGTGCGCCGGGAACGGGTGAGGCCGGGCGAGTGGGATCTCGAGAAAGAGGCTGAAAAGCCGGGGCAGCGAGTATGGAGTAAGATAATGGAGACGTCTGGGGATAATGATGGGGTTGTATGGGGTTATACGGATGGACGGGCGAGGTTGGTACCTCCCATGTGCCCTGGCATGCGAGGCTTGAGCCGATCCAAGCCCGTGATCCCGTGATGCTCCGGTACGTGGAGCGGAAGCCGGGGCCGCAGCCGTAGCCAAACGGTCAAGCACCGAGGGAGCAGGAGGTTGACCCCCGGAGGCGAACGGGCTAGATCGGAGGAGCAGGGATTGTTCGGGAATGATGTATGTCAGAAGTTGCATCTCAGTATGTAAGTGAATTGTAAGGGTTCGGAATCTATTCGACGACGAGTTTTCGTACGTAACACGGCGAGAGTCTATGTGGGCTTGGCCTTGAAATAATGTCGATCAAGGTATCCCGGCATTGATATTATCAGTAGTATTGGGTGTTGCGAGTAATGCTAGAAGGATCGATATCATGAACTGATACTGCAATGCATAAGGTAGGTAGATACATGTATGTTTGGGTGTGCTGTATGTAGCTAGCCCAGGTCCAGGCCAGATTGACGTTGGATTCGCTCAGGGATCATGGTGGAGGGGATCGAGTGAGCTACTGCTGTCCATAGGAATAGACAGGGCAGGGGTTCGGTCAGCCCAGGTGGACTCAGGTCAGGAGAGGTTCGATCTCAGGTGAGGAATCTCGGTGAGATTCAAGATACATGGCTATTGAAGAATATGAGACCATGAGGGTCCGTGTTTTTATGGAAACGTAGGCACGATATGATAGGGCTCTGGCAGATTCAGGGTCTCCATTTTTGGTGATTGGAAATAGATGCTGGACACACCCAGGGGTCTCGACAAAGGGCCGATGTCAGATAAGCGGATTTTGTTTTGGCGATGGAATTGACAATACAGATGGCATGGACTGATCTGATGTGATGTAGTAGAGAACATACCAGCATAAGGAGAAGCGAATACAGTCGGTCCGCCAAAGCTCGTGGCCTATCAACGGGCCGACAGAGGCCCTGTTTTCGGTGAGTTGGGCTGAATCGAGTGAGTTGAGTTGAGCTGTTTTGTTCCATCATGATGCCTCTCAACAATTGTCACCGTAGGAGAGGGACAACAGGGTAACGTGAAACAGCTAGATGTCAATACTGGCTAGGTACCCTATTGTTTAGACTTTGAGGACATGCATGTCTAGAGCTGATAGAAGTATCTTTAAACCATAACAACTGATATGATGGCTTTGATATCTTGTTATAATTGTTTTCTATCATATTTACATGTTCATATCGAGTCAATACTGTGACTGAAAAGAAACCCCCGCGACTCAAAGACCGAGAACATCTAGCCCCGCCGCATTGCGTAAAAAGACGCAACACAAGCTGTAAAAACCCGCAGCTAGACTCGAGCGAAGATCAGATACTAAGCCTCATTCAGTGTCACCGTCTAGATGGTGAAGCTTCTAGCTCAATTAAGGTGACTCCGGTATAAGTGGGCAAAGCTTTGGATACGTAAATATGTAGGAAATTAAAACATTGTCATGGAGATAGAGGCCGAAGCATATCGAAAGACGAGAAACAGCATACGGTTACAAAGGATTGGATTCATACGAGAATTAACTCTAGCGAGGACTCGAAACCGTACGACTCGTTTGTGATCGGTGAACAAGGCGAACCGAGCTTTTCAATATGTAGAGGGACGTGCATTGGCGGCGGCGGCGGCAGCCGTTAACGATGAGACCAAGATAGACGCATATTATGGGTTGGGAAAGTGATAATGGATAATATGGCGGCAAATAGGGGGAAAAGAAGAAACAGATCAGGCAAGAAAGGCAAATAGCGAGCCAGGGGTTGCATTGCAGCTTCGCGGCGTGAAACTTACAGATCTCATCGTGGCCCAAGATGATGAGGCGTTCATGTCCACTGTAACCGGAGGCTCCGGAGAGAGATGGGATTGTGTGAAAACATCTGATCGACAAGTGACGCATTTCTTGGAGGCGGCAATGTATCGAATTGATATCACGGAGAGTTGCACGGTAGAATGCGGTGTCTTATTCGGCGGCACCTACAAAAATATCAAGGATGGACGGGGGATGGAATCAACTGAGGTGGCACCTCATGGAGGGGCAGAAAAGATACATGGTTTTGAGAGGGAGGGGCATATTACAGGGAGGTAGCTTTTCAGGGCATCACCCCACCACGAAGCTCTCGTCAGTGGTGGGGTCTGAGACATGATGAAGTTGAGCAGTAGGACGTCAAGTAGAGATGATGACAGAGTTACTATCCATAGTATTATGTAGATGGATTTGTAAGTCCAGAGTAAAGAATGCAATGCCTTAACTAAGAAGTAGAGTCATACCCAGGAATAAGGCTGTGAATTGGTCATGATGGCTTTGACTGAGCTAACGTTAGTGAGTGAGAAGGAAAAAAAAGAGCTCCCACCCTTTCATCCGATATTGAATGTTCCATTGGCCCCTGCTGTTATGATACACTAAGGTATAGACTCACTACCTACTGTACCCCCCGGGCAACAGGGGTGTGTATGTTCGTGGGATGATGATGTGGTGTTGGTGGTCTAAAGTGGGTTGCTAATGGTAGAGCAGAGCATATTCTGATGAGAGAGTTGAGGATGAGTGAATAAGGTAATCCATTGTCCGGAATTCATATATGTACTTGTACTCCCACTTCTGCCTGCTCCTCTTCTCTTCTCTTTCCTTTCATTCTCATCATCCTCACATCACAACAACAACTTCTACTACAAACCTCTTGGTATGTGAACAATTTACCCCTCCATCACCATCATCATCCATCAGTGTCATAACATGATGATGATGATGGTGATGCATTGCTTTGCCTCATACTCTCCTCTTGCCTCTCCACCAACAAACAGATTGCCATGTCATATCATGTCTGCATTCGATCCAACACAATGAGAAAACGATGCGACGACACGTCAATCGATATGGGTGATGCATTGGTTGGCATTGGCATGGATGACACGACATTGGATGGCATTGATGTTGCTATAGAGAGGGGAGAGAGGGAGACAGATGGGACCCTTTCGGGCCATTGAGCTTTGTAATTTCAGAGCTCTACGCTCCTCTCTCTGCCTCTTGTCTCTCTAGCCTCATCTGCTTGCCCCTCCTTTGCACCGACGTTCCAATTCCAATTCCAGTTCCCACACCCACTTTCACTTGCTCTTTCCCTGTGGCAACCTTCCCTCAGCAAAAAAAAGCTTCCGTTCCACTCAACCTCCGTCATACAGATATAAATTACCCCACCCCCTCACCTCAACCTTCACCTCAGCTCTTCTCTTGCTTTTTCTTCTCTCCATCCTCCTTCATCTATCTTCATCCTAAAGATATCTCATCTGACTCTCTTGCCTTAACAGAAACTACCATTTTTTCTACAATAAACAAAATGGCTCCCATCAAGGTCGGCATCAACGGTTTCGGTCGTATCGGCCGTATCGTCTTCCGCAACGCCGTCGAGCACCCCGACATCGAGGTTGTTGCTGTCAACGATCCTTTCATTGAGCCTCACTACGCCGTAAGTAGACCCCCAACGAGCTCGTTCGATACCCCAAACAAAACTACAAGTCACTGCTTGGGAGCTTGTCGTTTTGTCATAACCCTGTAAACCCGCATCATGATTCAGCTGGAGCTTGCAAGTCACTGCACAACATCGTTAATAGTACACACTGCAACGAGAGTTGTAATTGGCACCACAAGCTTCGTGTCGTGGCATGATACCAGAGAGCAATGCCCACTGTAGCGCAATAGCAATGCTTCATGTCCCGCCAAGCTACCCCTCATTGCCCCACGTCCCTGACAATACCACCTTCAGCTTTGAGCTTCAAGCTAACCTCGACTCCCCTACACAGGTTTACATGCTCAAGTACGACTCTTCCCACGGTATCTTCAAGGGTGAGGTCGGCAACGATGGCAACGACCTTGTCGTCAACGGCAAGACTGTCAAGTTCTACTCTGAGCGTGACCCCGCCAACATCAAGTGGTCCGAGACCGGCGCCGACTACGTTGTCGAGTCCACTGGTGTCTTCACCACCACTGAGAAGGCCAAGGCCCATCTTGCTGGTGGCGCCAAGAAGGTCATCATCTCTGCCCCCTCTGCCGATGCTCCCATGTACGTCGTCGGTGTCAACGAGAACAAGTATGACGGCTCTGCCGACATCATCTCCAACGCTTCTTGCACCACCAACTGCCTGGCTCCCCTCGCCAAGGTCATCAACGACAAGTTCGGTATCGTTGAGGGTCTCATGACCACCGTCCACTCCTACAC